TGTCAAGCCTCTAAACTTCTTATCTCTGCCTGGCTTGCTCTTTCCCTAACTTGTCAGTGGAAAGGCTCGTTTTATCCTTTAGAGGTCCCAGATCACATAACACCTTCCCAGAATACTCTGTCTAAAGTAGGCCACCCCCTTCCCAGTTACTGTCAAAGCCTCAGTGTATTTTGCCCACAGTGGTATATTTAAAGTAATCATAGTTTACTGCTTGTTGTTTCCCCAGCTACAGTGTAAGCTCCATGAGGACAGGCTGCTTGCCTGGCTCCCTGCCTCCTCCTCAGCGTCTAGCACAGTACTTCAGCCAGAGGGATGAATCAGGGGCAGCGTAAACAGTCATGAAAAACTGGATGAGGTTGAGTTCCTGATACAAGCTGGGTTTTAGGGTCTGCACTTTACTCACCTTATATAACTGTATCCTCACTGGTGCTCTGCAAGGCAAAGAGCATTCTCATTCTACAAATGAGGAAACTGAGTCCCACAGAAGTTAAGTCATTTACGAAGGCTCAAACAAGTTAGTAGGCTGAAACTGTTTTTTTCTATTACATCACACAACTTATTGCACAGAACATGTTCTCAAGGAGGCAGGTTTGAATCGAATGGTCAGTTGAGAGGATGCATTTCCCAAGGTAGGTGAAGACAGGAGAGAGAATTTGGGGTCAGAAAGAGCTTAAGGGCAAGGGTTAGCAGCTGGCTTTGTTTACAGGTCTTACAGTTCTTTTTGTTTGTTTCTTCTGAGTGGTCCCATCAGACCTGATGGGCTCCTTCAGGATTATTTAAAATAATTTGATGACAGCTAAATGACTTATATTAAATAATTACGTAGGAAAATTAGTGATGTGATAGGGCTGTTGTATAGTACCTGGAGTCATTCTTTTAACTGAGTATTCACCTTGAGTTCTGAGAGGATGAAACAGTAGGCTGAGCTCCAGCTGGAGCAGGACCATGAGGCACACTAAGTGTTGGCTGGGTTGCGACAGCAGGCGAACAGGCCTCCAGCTCACTGAAAAGCTGTGTTGAGATACCAAGTTTAAAACAGCCCTGAATCATTTAATATTGGGATTTGACCTTTCAAAAGCCTATTACTCTTATTCCCAAATTTATGATATTACATGAATTGTTAAAAAAAATGTTTGAGAGAGATCTCTCAATCGGAGCATGCGTGGGGAAGGGGGAGAGATGGGGGGTGGGGCAGAAGATCTGAAGTGGGCTCTGCACTGACAGCAGCCGGTCCCATATGGGGCTCAAACCCAGGAACCGTAAGGTCATGACCTGAGAGTTGGGACACTCAGCTAACTGAGCCACCCAAGAGCCCCTACAACATGGGTTTTTAAGAAATTAACTGTCTGGAATCCATGCTGAATAAATAATGCAGACTTTTTCTCATGTGAGCTTAAAGGATTTGATACCCAGCCCTGAAACAAGGTGTTTTTGAGACAGTGGTATCTTATCTCGTTAAAACCGTGGACAACTTTGTGTGGATTTTATCTTGGAGGAACAATACATGAATTGTGGACTAGGATAAAAGAAATTGGCAAGGTTTGGGGGATTTCCTCCATAACCTGCTTGTTTCTGTAATGACCTACAAGGCCAGGCCCAAGGAAAAAGACTGCACTTGTGTGGTTCAAATCGTTTTCCTTGGCAAAGAAGATACTCTGCATGTTATGCTTTTTAGATACGTTTTAAAAAAAACAAAACTAAGTATGCATTGATGTGTATATAACTATATATATTAAATAAACACACTCAAACCTTAATTATAAAATGGTATACAGTGAAGTCTTTTAGAATCTGGCAACTGCGAATAAATAAAGAGTGCAAAGGAAAATGCAGAATTTGACATCATGACGCATGAGCTCATTTTGTAGAGCTTAAGTTTCTGTGTATATAATTCTACCCAGACACGGGGCACTGCCTTCTTCTATGCAGAATTTTGGCAAATGCTGCTATTTTGGCTTGTTTGAAGTAGTCCGAAATTATACTTGTATAATATAATAAAACAAAATTTTTAAATCCGATTTTTAAAAAAATCGATTTTTCCTTACAAGGTAAAAGGATTCTTCAGCTCCTTGAAAGAGAACAGTTCTCAGCTCCATTGTGTCCAGCAAACAATTGAAACCATTGAGGAAAACATACGTTGGATGGATAAGAATTTTGATAAAATCAGAGTGTGGCTTCAAAGTGAGAAGCTTGCACTGCTCTAACACCTCCTTCCTCAGTGGTTCCTGTGGTAACGTTATGCTGAAGTTTCGTCAGGTGTGATTATTTTCAAACCAGAGATGGCTCTTTTGGCTTCTGCTCAAGATATTTTTCTTTTCCTTCTTACTCATTTGACTATTCCTATGAGAAGACCGGCTACTAAATTGTTCCATCGATGGGTTACTGCTATGATGTATTTTATTGACCGGTGTCGCCCTGCAATCTAAACCCAGGCGATGGGTTCCTTATTGTGGGGGCGTAGCTTATTTCTACCGTTTTATATCCTATACTTCAGCCTCTTGCTTTCCAAACCCCTGCTCCCCTTGTGCCATCCATAAGCTGTTTTGTCACTCTCCTCTATTGTCACTCTTCTCTAAGGACTGGTGCCTAGCAGGGACTCAATGGTGAACCCCTGGATCAGTGACTAAGCCAGCATGTTCCATCTTTGCCTTCTCTGTCGCAAGCCCAGGGGCTGACAGGAAGGCGCATGTCATCAGGCTTGTTTGCTGACTTGTGCCAGTCTCCCATGGGGCCGGGGGGAGAGGGGGGTAGGAGAGAGTAGGTGGGGGTGCTTTATTGCCCTAGTGCCCTTGCAGGTTGCCTCAGGTTGGCCTCCACCGAAGCCTGGCTCCTGAGAAGTGGCCCTCTTTTCTTCCCAGCCTTTTCCAGGTCTGCCTTCTAGTCACTGCTCCTCCCCTCACCTCTCCAGGATGAGGGAAGGGTGAACTGGGAGTCTGGCTTCTCATAGGCCTAGCAGTACTTGTGGGTTCCTTACATGTCTCCATTTTTTTTTGTTAAAAAAACAAAGCAAAACTTTTTATAGAGCCTTCCTCAAATAATCCTAATTTGAGTGTGTGGTCTGTTTCCTCAGGGACCCTGAGTGATACAGTGTCCCTCTGAAAAAAGCAGAGTACATTCAGGTCTAGTGGAGAAATCTTTCATTTGAAGTTGAACCTGGGAGCTGTTGATACTTAGGTAGGTGATGCTTCCTCTTTCTGCTCCATATTTGGCCTAGTTTAGAATTCCCCAACAACTTGTTACTGGCACTTACTGCCTCTAAGTCATGGCAGAGTCTCCAATAAATAATGTGAAACTGAAAATATTTAATTAGCTTAGTGTGGCACTGAGTTGTCTTTGAAGGCCTTTATGAGTTTAACATACTATAAAACTTAAGATAAAAAAATAAGATATGAAAAATGTCAGTATGTTCTAATACTGTGGAATAGAGTGACATAAATGTGTTTACGATTCTCTTTTTATATGTATTGCATAGTCTAATGGTTTGAGAAATAAAAACAAAACCCGGAATCACTGGTAATTTCCACTCCCAGGTATTAACCTTTTAAAAGACATACAAAGCCAAGATTTTAATGTAAAATATTTTTCTTTAATTATTTTGTATTTTGATTTAATGAAACATGGAAATAGTGGTTTTCATTTTTGGTCACCTGAGCAACCTGTGTTAATTTTCTAAAAACATTAACAATGTTGCTACAACAATGTGCGAATACCTTTTTGGGAATAAAAATGGTCTTATTTACTTCTAAGCAGATATTTGCAATTATTGCCTCCTAATTAGACAGGTGAAAGACGACTCAGATTCTGTAGCTTAGTCTAGTCATCATTAATTACCAGTAAGTGGCCAAGACTTAAATACATTTCTAACGAACAAAAGGCATATTCAGGGTACCTTTAATGTTTCCTTTTACAAGCATTTCTTAAATCTCTGGATTTAAAAATATTTCTGTATATGCATGGAAATTAGTAATACTGCAGCCATTTCCCCGCAAATATATCTGTCAATGTCAAAGATTTCACTTTCAAAAAAAGAAAATACTTTTATACTACCTAATTAGAAGACTTAGAAATACAGTTGAAATCCCACAGGAACAGTGTTCATTTTCTCGTCAGTGCTTTGAAAAGGTCTGTTTACTCCCCGCAACACTGGCTTGTATTTTCCAGATTTAGAGTAATAGAATAATGCCTGTACCTCTCATGGGATAGATACGCAGCACATAGAGTGAACTGTGATAACCTATAGGTATGTGCTTGATTTTTTATGAGAATTTCTAAAGAAAGAGTAGCAACATCATTTTATGCCCCATTGTAAGCAGTGTTTTCTCTCCCCCCACTTCCTGCATAGTGTTGGTGATAGTTCTCTTTTTTAGTGAACTCAGTTAAGTTCTAAAAAGAACGTAAGACACATGCTGAGGATGGCTGTACTCTCCAAAATGAGGAATTCCAAATCAGTTTTATGACCTATACTTTCCTGCATTCAGTACCAGGAAATAAAGGGGAAATTATTTATCAATCAAAATCCCCACAAGGATATCAGTGCTATCTATGTTCACCAATTCATTCCGAAAGATCTGAGAAGCCATTCAAAGTTACATGACATCAGAACCTCATTCTTGAATTGCTGTGGGTGAAATGCAGGTTTTTAAATTTCAGATAGGTTTTTTTTTTCAAGTCAAAGTTTTGTCTTTCTTTGGTAAACCTAACTTCCTTAAAGCCGGATGGCACACAGTGCACAGACTAACGTGGCAATGGTCTAAGCAAATAATTGCTGCTCTGCTTATACGTATCAAAAATCAAGGCATAGCTTAACACAGTAACCCAACTGAGTTTAAGGGATATGAATATTCTAAGGATTGGATTTTTCTTATCCTTGGAGCTTACTATGTGGTGACATGTGTCCACATTTTGCTCTTCTGGCTTGATTCCAGTCTCAGTATGTCTTATGCGGGCTCCATGGTGCAGAAGTCCTAGCCTCTGGCAAAAAAAAAAAAAAGTACTGTGTGCAGCGTGTCCTGGTCTGTCCAGGTTATCAATTTATTAGCAGCCCAAGAGGAGATATGTGCCCAATGTACAATATTTTGTTTGACTTATAAACATTAACCAAAGAAACATCAAATACAGCTCTAAAGCCCCAGAGGAAATGGGTAATGAGAAATCAAAACATTAAACACATTCAAGGCACTGTTTTCCAAATGCTAACAACAATTAAAGAATTAAGTGCAAACTGAAAATACTAATGAGATTTACAGGCACTGTGTTTAGAATGTGCAAACGTTTGCAAAGGTTTTTCCTTTTATATGTTTTAAGAAACTATCAAATATATCTCTTAGAAATATAGAGTTCCCGTCTCTCCCAACTGAAGGCAATTTTTAAAAATTCAAAGTTTATCAATACTCAGTACAGTTACACAGATAAACCAGACAAATTCATTTTCTTTCTGGGAAAAGAATAACCAATGTTTAGGATGTCAAGAGTCAACAAATAACACTGTCTAGAAGCCACCCAGAAAAATTTTCTGTTCAAAGCCTTTTGTCCTTCAAAAGTCACCATCCACCAGCTGAAGATTTTATAGACAGATACCTTGAAAAATTGAAAGAAAAAAAAAATCCAGTGAACGATACAGAATTTTGTTATAGGCATAATAAACATAACATTTACTAAAAACACTGTGTAACAGATAGCAACAAAGACTCTCCTATGAGTAAACATGAGAATGTTTTAGAAAATTCTAGAATTTAGAATATAGAAAACTTTAACTTGGGGGAAAATCTTTGAACAGTTCTAATGAGTATGCCTTACTTGTTAGAGGAAACAAAAGTAGACCATGATGAGAGAGACTAACCCAATCTTACCTACATTTTAATTTTCTTCAGGCTTTAGTCAGCCAGTGGTCATAAGCTTTAATGGCTTGGAGTAAGACCCAGTCTTATATATAGGAATTACATAAGAAATATAAGGTCTCTCAAGATACATCTCAGATTCCCTTATCCAAAGAAGTTCTTCAGTCATTATTACATAGAATGAAAATACTTGACTTTTGGAAAACGACAATGAAAAAAGTGGTCCATCGTTTCCTTTGCTTTTGTTCCAAAAAAAACCTCCTGTAATTTTCCTCTAGCCATAAGGGTACTTCTGTTTACCCCACTGGTTATTTTGGTAACACCAGTATCATAAGGACATTTCACTGTAAGATTTAACAGGCTAAGTGGGTAACCTGCAGTCACAAGCATCTGGTTTCAGAGAGTCGACTAGACTTAGGTGGTCATTTTTTTTAAAGCCTAGCCTGATGTTTTAAAGAGCTGTTAATTATAAGATTACTATTTTTAAACATTCCAGGAGCATATTATTCCATTTATGGCTTTTCAATGAATTAACCTGTTGACACTATAATGTGCATTTTATGCCAATAGTTTGAAGGGAACGTGAATAAGAGGTGGACTTAGTTTCCCTCACCTATGGGACAGGTCTGTAGAAGGTACAGTTGTCTTAATTTACAACAAACACCGAACTTACCAAATAGTGTGAACTTTAACTTGTATTTTTTTCATCAGTTTTTAGCTTGGAAGTCTCCTCCTTTGCCTAAAAGGGAAAGCAGAACCATCTGGGTTTAAGTATCAAAAAGCAGATCAATCAGAAGATTCTTATGAGGAGATGGGCTTTGCAAAATTAAAGGGTCAAAAGATGACAAAGTGGAGGAAAAATAAGTGGGCCTTTCTAAGGATTTTTCATTTAGCCCATACTATGAACTGTTCACCTTCAAGTTTGTAAACTGAAAATAATCTTAGGTGATTGATTTAAAATTTTTTACTCTTTTTTTAAAGACTAGGGTTAATTGAAGAGGAACATCGGTATTTTTGGATGGTATTCACTGATTTTACAGTAATTGATCCTCTCTGACTTGGGGTCACTGCTGAATATGGAGTTTTTAAGCTTCATTTTGATCATGTACTTTGTATAACTTAAATATCTGTTTGCTTATTTAACCTATTTGAGATGTGAGCAATTATCAATCTGGTTTCCTGTAGCTTTTATGGATTTCACTCTTTTTAAGGTTATAAATTGACATATAAACTGGATTTACACTTTCACATTATTCTAAATTTTACTATAATCTTTCCAGTGAGATTTGTATTTTCATACGTTTTCTTGTTACTAATTAGCACCTTTTATTTTCAGCTTCAAGAAGTTGCTTTAACATTTCTTCTAAGGCTGCTTTAGTGCTGATGAACTCCTCTGTCTGGAAAACTTGCTCTCCTTTTATTCTGAATGACAGCTTTGGTAGGTAGAGTATTCTTCGTTGGAAGTTTTTTTATATCAGCACTTTGAACAGGTCCCCTACTCCCTCTGGCCTGCAAAGTTTCTGCTGAAAATCTGCTAAGAGAGACCACTGGTTTTCTTTTCGCTGTGCTGAAGACTTTTTAACTTGTGATTTTTAAATTATAATGTTAGTTGGCTTAGGTGTTTTTGGATTCATCTGTTTTTTGGGATCCTACTGGCTTCCTAGATCAAAACTTCTGTTTCCTTTCCCAGGTTAGGGAAGGTTTCCGCCATTATTTCAGGTAAGTTTGCTGCCCCTTTCTGCATCTCTCCTCCACCTGGGACCCCTATAATGTTAACATTTGTCCATTTGATGTTGTCCTAGAAGTCCCTTAACCTTTTACTGTTGAGACTGGGTGAATTCCACTGCTATGTCTTTATGTTCACTAATTCTTTCTTAGCTTCACAGACTGTTCAATTTTTTAGTTCACATATTGTATTTTTTGGCTTGGTGACTTCTGTTTGGTACTTTGTCACTATTCTCATATCTTAAGTTTTCGCTGTGTTCATCCATTCTGCTCCCAAATTTTGTGACTACCTTTGTAACTACTATGCTGACTTCTTCATCAGGTAAATTACTTAGGTCCATTCTGTTAAGGTTGGTTTTCTGTTTTTCCTGAGGATTGATCTTGGTCTTTGATTTGGAACCTATTTATCTATGCTTCATTTTCCTTAACTATGTTGGTTCCTGTGCTTTAAACAGACACATCTCCTAGTCTTAAAGGAATGTCCTCAGGTAGGAGATAAACTGTTTGATTCAACCCTGCTCTAGCTCTTGGATGTCTCTCAAACCTCTGTGATAGGCTCCTTGTATTTGAGAGTGTGCCGAGATCTGTCAAGGTCCCAAAGGGGAGGATCTCTGTCAGCATCTAGATTGATGCTCATTAGAAGCCAATTCCTTACAAAGAACTCTTTAAACAATACACACATCTACAGGCTGGTAAAACACAAACTAAGTCCTGCTGGCTGCTAGAGCCCAGTGATCTGGAGGGGTCCCTCCAGACTCATGAGGTGCGACTATGGGCTCTAGCCCTTTAAGAATAGTTCTCAGACAACGGGGAAAAACTGAGAGCTTTCCCCCTGAGATCAGGAACACGACAGGGATGTCCACTCTCACCACTGTTGTTTAACATAGTGCTGGAAGTCCTAGCATCAGCCATCAGACAACAAAAGGAAATCAAAGGCATCAGAATTGGCAAAGAGGAAGTCAAACTTTCCCTCTTCGCAGATGACATGATACTCTACATCGAAAACCCGACAGACTCCACCAGAAGCCTACTAGAACTGATCCAAGAATTCAGCCAAGTTGCAGGGTACAAAATCAACGTACAGAAATCGGTTGCATTTTTATACACCAATGATGAAGCAACAGAAAGAGAAATCAAGAAACTGATCCCATTCACCATTGCACAAAAAACCATAAAATACCTCGGAATAAACCTAACCAAGGATACAAGAGATCTGTATGATGAAAACTATAGAAAACTTATGAAGGAAATTGAAGAAGACACAAAGAAATGGAAAAACATTCCATGCTCATGGATAGGAAGAATAAATATAGTCAAGATGTCATTACTACCTAAAGCAATCTACACATTCAATGCAATTCCAATCAAAATTGCACCAGCATCCTTCTCAAAACTAGAACAAACTCTCCAAAAATTTGTATGGAACCACAAAAGACCCCGAATAGCCAAAGTAATACTGAAAAATAAAACCAAAACGGGAGGGATCACCATCCCAGACTTCAGCCTCTACTACAAAGCTGTCGTCATCAAGACAGTATGGTATTGGCACAAAAACAGACACATAGACCAATGGAACAGAATTGAGAACTCAGAAGTGGACCCAAAAGTATACAGCCAACTGATCTTTGACAAAGCAGGAAAGAATATCCAATGGAAAAAAGACAGCCTTTTTAACAGATGGTGTTGGGAGAATTGGACAGCAACATGCAGAAGAATGAAACTAGATCATTTTCTCACACCATGCACAAAAATCAACTCAACATGGATAAAGGACCTGAATGTGAGACAGGAAACTATCAACACCCTAGAGGAGAAAGCAGGAAACAACCTCCTTGACCTCCACCGCAGCAACTTCTTACTTGACACATCCCCAAAAGCAAGGGAATCAAGAGCAAAAATCAACTGTTGGGACCTCATCAAGATTAAAAGCTTCTGCACAGCCAAGGAAACAACCCAGAAAACTAATAGGCAACCAACGGAATGGGAAAAGATAGTTGCAAATGACATATCAGATAAAGGGTTAATATCCAGAATCTATAAGGAACTCACCAAAGTACATGCCCGAAAAACAAACAACCCAGTGAAGAAATGGGCAGAAGACATGAACAGACACTTCTCCAAAGAGGACATCCAGATGGCCAACAGACACATGAAACGATGCTCAGCATCCCTCCTCATCAGGGAAATACAAATCCAAACCACACTGAGATACCACCTCACGCCAGTCAGAGTGGCTAAAATGAGCAAATCAGAGAACACAAGATGCTGGCGAGGATGTGGAGAAACGGGCACCCTCCTACACTGTTGGTGGGAATGTAAACTGGTACAGCCCCTCTGGAAAACAGTGTGGAGGTTCCTCAGGAAACTAACCATAGAACTCCCCTAGGACCCAGCAATAGCACTGCTAGGAATTTACCCAAGGAATACAGAAATGCTGAGGCATAGGAGCACATGTACCCCAGTGTTCATAGCAGCACTCTCCACAATAGCTAAAACATGGAAAGAGCCTAAGTGTCCATCAACGGACGAATGGATCAAGAAGATGTGGTTTATCTATACCATGGAATACTACATGGCAATGAGAAACAATGAAATCTGGCCATGTGTAGCAACATGGATGGACCTTGAGGGTGTTATGCTGAGCGAAATAAGTCAGGCAGAGAAGGACAAATAACATATGTTTGCACGTATAGGAGGATTAGGAGGAACTTGAAGGAGGAACAAGGGGGAGAAGAAGAGGGGAAATGATGGGGGAAAGGGAGAGAGGCAAACCATGAGAGACTCTTGAATGCTGACAAAAACTGAGGAGGGATGGATGTGGGGGGGAGGGGGGATGGGCATGGAGGAGGGCACTTTGGGGATGAGCACTGAGTGTTATGTGGAAACTAAACTATTTGTAAAAAAAAAAAAAAAAAAAAAAAAAGAATAGTTCTCAGATCACTAAAGCCTTGAGGATCTCATGGACACAAGCCCCATTGGTTTTCTAAGCTAGGTATTTTTGGGATTCTCTCTCAGATGCAGGTCTTAAAAGGTGGGGTGCCAAATATGGGGTTCAAACTCTTTGCTCCTCAGGAAGAAGCTGTGAGGTTTGAGTTCCCTTTTGATTATGGGCCACGGTGCCTATGGTAGGGTTTACAGTGCGATTGTGTTCCTGTCCCCTAACTGCTTCCATCTGGGCCGTTTTCATTTGCTAAGTAAGTAAAAGTCACCTAGCTAGCTCTGGGGTTCCCCCCGCTCAAAGGGCATTATTCCATATGCAGCTGTGGATTACGTGTGTCCATAGGAGAAGGCAAGCTCAGGATCTTTCTAGGTCACCATCTTGATTCTTTGAGTTCTGCAACAGCTAGAGTATGATTTTTAAAGCTGTATCTTCAGCTTCCAAGCACAGTATGAATAATTTTGATAGGAATCTCTCATTTGGCTCCATTAATACCTAGCTCTTAGAAGCTGGACCCTGTAACTTTTTTAGATTTTATTTTTAAGTAATTGTTACACCCAAAGTGGAGCTCTAGAAAGTAGTACTAATAGTCCTCCCTCCCAGGTGGCATCTAATGAAGATTCTGGGTCACCAACACCCCAAGGTCGTCTCTAATTTTGTATACTGCTTCTGTGTTCTAGAATTTATACAAACGACATTCCCTGGTGTTATCCTCCCCTCACCACCATTAATTTGCTATGGCTTTAAAGTGAATCCATATAAGTTGTTGACTTTTTTCCTTAATGGCATATAAAGTAATCTAAACTGGCGATTTAGATTTGGTGAAATACAATATATGAATCTGTCCATGTGTTATCCATAAGCAGAAATGTGCACTGGGCAATTTCATGTAGTGGTCTGAGACTTTGGAGAGAAGGTGTAAAAAAATATTCACCCTTCCCAATATTTGCTATAGATGTTTTAAAGAGGTGAAGGGATGGAAGGAATGGGACTGTAGGCAGAAGTGCTTTTAAGTTTGAGAATTGCTTTTAAAGTGGCAAAAGAACTGGAATGTGTTTACAATACAAAGGAAAAGAAGATGAAAAGGTTGAAGATCCTAGAAAGAGGTGATTGGTGACCTCTCAAAAAGAAGGGCCAAATCAGGGCAAGTGGGGGAAAGGGTATGTCTTTGGGTAGGTGGGAAGGGACATTACGGATTTTGTGCAAGGTGGCCTTCACTTTTCTAACGTTGAAGGCAAGGCTATTTGCAGACAATGAGGGGGTTTGAGAAGGGGCCTACACTGATTACAGGCTAGCACAGATGGCTGGGCTGGCACTGCGAACAGTAAAATTACGGTGGGGTCTTCCATACTCGTTGTGACAAAGGGGAGAAAAGGGTAAGGGTAGCTAGTGCTTAAACAATTATTCTAAATAGATTCTAATTAGAAACTAAATTGACTAGGGGCGCCTGGGTGGCTTAGTCGGTTAAGCGTCCGACTTTTGCTTAGGTCATGATCTCGTGGTTCGTGGGTTTGAGCCCCGCGTCGGGCTCTGTGCTGACTGCCAGCTCAGAGCCTGGAGCCTGTTTCAGAGTCTGTGACTCCCTCTCTCTCTGACCCTCCCCTGCTCACGCTGTCTCTCTCTCTCCTAGAAATGAATAAAACATTAAAAAAATATATATATTAAAAAAATTAAAAAAAAAAAAGAAACTAAATTGACTAAAAGGATAAATGCCACTCCATGTCATATATTTAGTGTTGTTTACCTTTGCAGAATCCTTTGCTTTACCCCCATTCTTGGGTGCTTTGGATGTGGGAGCAGTTGTCTTGACTTTGTCCTAAAACAAAGGAAACATAATAAGGTTACTGTTATCAGTCCCTCTAACAGTTAATTCTGGGCTGCAATCAAACCAAGTGTAATTAAAAAATGGAAAACTCTGAATATACAAAGAAGTATTTAAGTTGGGAAGTAAAAAGTCTTAAAAATGCAGTGGAAAATGTGGGTCACAGTGATGTTCTGCCAATTTCCATGAGGAATTTTGGTAATCAAAACAGATCTTGCTTCTATCAGGACTGATTTTTTATGTGCCAAGAGAGCACTGTTTTCAGTGCTATGGAAAACAAATTTAACAATGGAAATCATCACAGAAAGTCCCATTCACCAAAAGGTATTATTTATCCAGGAGTAAAAAATAGGATGCTGACGTGGTCTAGAAATTAAATCCCCCAACATGGAGAAGAGTGACAATAAGAGCAAAACAACAGCAAACGGATCTACAGTATCAATTTTTCTGAAAATAACAAGGAAGGGCATTCAATTCACTTTTCCTTCTATTTGACTTATATATGCCACACACCTGTTGTACTACAGTTTTTTCATTCATCTTTAATGACACGTTGTGAGTACTTGCTGTGTCCCAGGAATTTTGCTAATGCTGACCACAGCTGCTGTATAAAGTGCACAGCTCACTGGTATAAATAGAGACAAAGGTTCCCCCCAGGTGGCAGAGAGCATGGTGGAGAAACCCCTGACTTTGGCCTGGGAAGAGAGAAGCAGTAAGAGCCGGAGCTTGAACGGGGCCCAGAGGGAGGGAGTCAGCCAGATGGGCAGAAAGGAGAGGGAATCCCAGAGGGCAACAGCCACAAGAAGGTACAGTGCAGGGAGGCACTGCTCTCATTTTAAATGAAAACAGACAAAGCATTAGTGAACTCATCAGTGTGGAAATCAAACATGGTGGCTATGGAGATTATACAGCAACATGGAAAACATTTATGAAACAATGTTAAGCACTTGAATTACTACTATATAAAATAGATACATATGGAAAAAGATACATATGCCCATTAATTTTGGCAGGGTTGTATAATTATAGGTTAATTTCTTATCTCTTCAAGTTCTCTATGGCATCATTGAATTCATCCTGCAGCCTACAGCTCTATGTATTCACACCAACAAAGTCCATATGAAGTAGTATAGTACCTCTGCTGTGTTCTCTGAGGTTTCTGTTGGGGCAGGACAGCTGTCAAAATCACCTGAGAGGGCATCGATGGGGTCTTTGTCATCTGCAGGTTTCTGAGATATTAATAGAAATAGTCATCAGTGAAGGAGCCCAAGGCAAAAATACCATAAGGGACATTTTTCCACATCACTAAAAATATCAAAAGAAAAGGAAACCTTGCTGATATTCTTTTCCTAAGAAACTAATGTACTATAAAGGAAATATTAAAACATGAAAATCCTTACAGATTTACTTTCTTCTCTTTTATACATGTTGGCTTAGTATTCTGAGCCTCAAGTTTTTAATCTGAAACATGGAACGGTCTGAATATGCTCTTGTGAGGGCTAAACAAGAGAAATTACACATACCCACTCACACTGTATGTCTTCACATCATACCAAGAACAAGGTAGCCATTCAATAAATTTCAGATTTCTAAAATGTAAAATACAGTTCAGCTAGAATGAAAACCTTTGCTTATGGGAACATGCTGCTATGATATTTACCTTTGAGTCCTTGGGTTGCTGTGTAGGTGGCTTTACTGGTTTGCCCTTAAAAATAAGGCAGGTTATTGGTTAAACATAGATCTTAGTAAAGGTTTACTTAGATGTAGCCACTAATCATAAAATCTGTTGTTTAATGACATCAGGTACAATGGAGTATTGATTTGCAGTAACTGATAAACCTCAGAGTCTGGTTGTGGAAGTGAAAGAAACAATTATTAAGGAACTTTCTGCCATCATGTGTTAAAATGACTATTAAGAATATTTAAATCTGTTTTTCTGTCTTATTTATAAAAGCTTATTATACATTGGAACGATCTGCAGGGCTAGAATGGCATATAGAGATTCTTTTCCCCCCCCGCAGGATCTTCCAGGATTACAGCTACAGCTCATCAGGGACTTTACCCATCTACAAAGGCAAGGCTATTAAATAATACCTTTCCCACAGAATACAAGCAGGGTAAGGCAGTATTATCAAAGCAGGGAGGCTTCTAGCACAATGTAGACTTGGTATCCTCAAGAATACTGAATGCAAGCAAGGAGAATTGATTTCTGTAGTAAGAGACCCTGAAGATAACAGGGCGTCTTCGAACCCACCAAATGAATCAGTACAGAAAGGGAAGGATGTAACCTGGGCTTTCTTGTTTCTCTCTGAACAGGCCTGGAAATGTTATTTATCATACAACTGGCTTGCAATGAGCCAAAAGGGAAGGATATGGCCCAGCTGACCCAAGAAATTCTGCCTTCATGTTAAAAACAGAAGGCCAAAGCTGCCTTCTTTTCTTAATTTTTAAAAAAATACTATTTTGAGAGAAAGACACAGCGTAAGCAGGGGAGGGACAGAGAGAGAGGGAGACATAGAATTGGCAGCAGGCTCCAGGCTCTGATCTGTCAGCATAAAGCCTGAGCCCAACGTGGGGCTCAAACCCACGGACCAGAGATCATGACCTGAGTCACCCAGGCACCGCCAAAAACTTCTTGATAGAGCAGATCTAGATACAGAAATAGGACTGGCAGTGGGGAATACAGTGTTGCCTGTCTTTTCTCTGAACAGTGCTGGTAGCGGTGTAGAGGTCGACCCCAAGTCACGGAAGGGCCGTATTTATCTGCCCTGTTCATCAGTCCAGTACCAGCTCCTTTCTCCCCTTCAACAAGGAGCCTCTGCTTCAGTCAGGATTACAACTATCATTAAAAAAAATTTAATGTTTATTTTTGAGAGAGAGAGACAGAGTGTGAGCAGGAGAGGGGCAAGGGGAGTGGGAAGCACAATCTGAAGCAGACTCCAGGCTCTGAGCTGTCAGCACAGAGCCCGAGACATGGGGCTTGAACCCATGAAAGCGATCATGACCTGAGCTGAAGTCAGCTGCTCAACCAACTGAGTCACCCAGGTGCCCCTAACTATCATTTTTATAGCCTTTTCATGCAAAGAGAATCCATCAGTGTACATGCCCTGGTATCACTGTTCAGCACTGGTAAGTGAACATTATTCAATTCTATTTACACCACAGTGCCCAGCACAGTGAACACATATTGTACTGGCTCAGATAGATATTCAACAGAATTCTAGACAACCTGCTCATCAGAAACACATTAAAAGCACTCAGTCATGTTACATTTTGATGCTACTGTTAAAGTGTAGCTCCTATTCATTTCAAGGGAGATCTGAAATTTAAAAGCTGTTGTGATCTATATCCAAACAGAGACCTTTACCTTATCATCATTATCCAGGAGGTGTCTATATTCAGGGGGGATGGTATCGTCTCTTTCTCCCAGCTTGTCTCTGTGTTCAGCTTTAGCTTTTTCCTGTAAACATGGAATATATTTTCTCCTTCACTTAGACAACACGTGTACTGTTAAGTATTTACTTTTCTGAGACAAAACAGACTTTTTATTTCCTAAGTAACAACAAAACGATGACTGCAACAGATAAGTGGTTGATGGAAAATAAAGTTAACTCAGGTGCTTCTCCAGGTCAATCCACACGTGAGTTCCTACCTTGTATTTTAAAATAAATGATAAAATATTTGTTCTTAGAAACGACAGAAAGAGGTAAAGCTCAACGGTATAAACTATGTTTTATCTTTATGTGAATTTCACTTTTTAAATAAAAAGTTCAAGTCGCCGGACCTTGATATTTAGGTATAAAACACAACTTGGATGTGCATGAGCAAACCCTGAGAGGCCAGCACAAGTAGCAAACAAAAGTGCTACAAAAAGTCCCTGCTACTCAGGCAGTACCTTTTCCTTCCCCGCATCCTCACCTCACTGGGGCATGTCCCGGAATGATTCAGTGACATTCATTCCCCACCCCTCCAGGAGGAGGAGGGAATAGGCTTTATTTTTCTGTATCATTATCATTTTTCAAATATAGGTCAAGTTCACATCCATATTCTTGTAACATCAGTAGAATTAAGACCTAAGGATCTTTTGAAATGCCACTGGGGCATTCTTGGACATGGATGTGGCCAGTTACTTCCAGGTTCCAAGGTGAATGGGTCATTTGGTACTGTGTACTGTTAGACACAAATAAGCATTTACTCATGTTCTAGAAAGTGGGTGGGGCTAACAGTGTGTGCCTTGCAGACATGCCTTGCAGTGCTCCTGGCTCAACGCTTCATTTAGCGGTTTGCACGCAGAGTTATGGCTCAGGAGGCTGCTACAGAAACCTCTGACAAATAGGGGACCTCTGCCCCTCCATGTACTGAGTAAGTCACCCTCAAACGCATGTATTTGTGTGCCATACATTTGATATGAGATTAAACCAAGAAAAATAAATGTGGGAAGAGAATAACATTAAGGCAGAGCTGCACTTTTCCATAATTAAGTGTGGTCTCACTGAGAGGATATGTGCCTAAACCTGTGCGCTCACACAGTACTCACTGAGGAAATAAAGACGACAGGGTACAGAGAAGAAAAAAAATGAGACTTCAGTCATTCAGCCATTCACTAAAATGCCAAGTGGGTTTTTCTTTTTTTCCTTTTATGTGCAGGGTAGGATATTCTATGCTTTAAACCCTAAATTTCAATTAGTATACGGTTTTTTTTTACCTTGACCTTATCCTCTATTGGTTTGTTCTCATCTGGATCAGGCTGCCTTTGTCCGAGACTGTCAGAAAGTTGATCCAAGGCATCGTCCAGTTCTTTGTTGTCACTCTGCTAAAAAGTCAATCTGAATTAGTCACTGGCGAGCCAAATCAGGTCACCTTCTCCCTAATCTTTCCTTCTCCACACTTCTATGTGCCTTTCTACCCCACCCTACCCCCAGATACCTTTCTTTTCTAAAAAAATAAAATAGATTCCTCCAAAAAATAGGGGGTTCCTGGTCTGATGTGTTGGAAAACGTGCCTAACAATGCATACAGTGTGTGCAACACTGCTGGGCACAGTCTAAAACACATGAATTATGATAGCTTATTTTTGATTCCCACATGTATTCTTTTAAGTAAAGATATATACCTAATTTGAGTGATGTCTTCAAATAAATTATTAACTGAAACTAGACTTTGCGATGGGAAAAGTGATGGGAAAGGTGTCATTCTAAAACAAACTTGTGAAAGGCATACAGCCTTTGCATTGTGGATGTTGACCAAGAGACTCAGCCAGGGCAGAACCCCTCACCTCAGGAGTAGGAACTGAAGCGTAACTGGCAGCCTGGATTAATACTGATGCTTCTTTTCTGTGCACAGGCACATTCATCATTGTGGACACACACACAGCATTTTACTGGTTTTAAGCGGTTCTTTAGAGCTCAGGATTATAGCTCTTAATGGAGGAGCTGCCCACGGCTGAGTCTTGGCTTTGTCATTTGGGCCTCTGGATATTTTCAGATGATCCTGAGGCTGACCCAACAGGATGAAAATTCATTCAGAATCTAAGACTACAGCACTAAGTAAGCTTTGATGCTACATCAAAAGGAAAGTAAGCATAGCTGACTTCACTAAAGCTACTTCCTTTCCATCTAGCAAATGAGGCACTTGTTTTCTACCAAAGGAGATGGGGATCTGGTTTAGGGCGATCTCTTTGATGTGCTGTGGTCTCCTCGCCTCGATAATGTATAATTTGGTACTGCACAGAAAATTAATCAAGGAAGTCTGGAAAAGCTTTGGTCCCACAGTCTTGCCTCAGAACATGTAAATAATTAAAACAATATTGATGCTGAGGCTTTCATACTGCTAACATGAAAATGGCCACGTTTTACTGGCGTGAATGAATGGGAAGAAAACTGCTCTTCCATGACATGTTTGAATTTTTGGGAGAAGCAGCTCACACACTGAGCAATTCCAAAGAATAAACTTGAGGTTAAATAATGGGTAGTATTTATAACATATGTCAGGAAAAATATAAAGGAGGAGAAAATAATCAGGAAAGCTAAGGAATTTTTTAAATCTAGTAATTCAAATATATATACAATGCTCACTATTGGTCTTTCAATTCTCATAAAGTAACAATAATATTAAGTTCCAGGAAAGTGTGTGGAATATTTCATAAACTTTCTTTCATTTAATTATTTCAGGCATACTGTCGTCTCTCCAAATTGCCAGTCTTACCTCTTCTAAAACAAAAAGTGCTTTATCTTTTCAACAATTTTGTTTATTTTCATTTACTCTAAGGTGAGGGCCCTATTTTTGCTTTTTGTTGTTGCTGCTGTAAAACCGTGTTTCTAAGATGCTGCTTACCGCAGTATGAGGGGGTGGGCCAGGAGTGTGCGTGGCTGGAGCTGGGGTTTGGGAAACCACTTCAGAGATGACAGCAGAAAGTTTAGCTTCATCAAATTTCTTTTATAAAATAAAATAATAAAAGAAAAGAAAACATAAAAGAAAAGAAAAAATAAAATAAAAATTTGTATGCAATATATTATATAAAACTATGCCCGCAATAACATCACTTAAATACTGTTTTTAATACAGCTTTATTATTGTTTATTCTCTTCATCCAAATGGATGAAAAGTAACACATAATCTTTTGGGGAGGAGACAAGAATCTCAAGCAGGCTCCACATCCAGCACAGAACCTACGATGAGATCATGTCCTGAGCCAGAAATCAAGAGTAGGAAGCTTAACCCACCGAACCACCCAGGTGCTCCTCTAAGTAATACATAATCAAAGTCAATTTTTATTTTACTTCCTCCTCCATAGCTGCAGTTTACACAATCTCCTAATTCCTATTCCTATTTATTATTCCAAATGTTGAAAAATCTCATAGTGACTTAGTTTCATGGTTTGTTTAATGTTCCTAGGTGTATATTTAAGTTGTTTGCAATTTCTCAGCTTTCTTGTTAATTAGTCTGTAGAATTTCTACCAGTGGTTCTTTTTCTGGCGCTGGCTATATTCTGCAGACTGCCCCCTCCAGAGTGGCTAGAAAGTCATAAAGCTAAAAGCAATGAATTAAGCACACTTGTTTTCCATGGCCTTCCTTGACTCAAGTAGATATTTGTTACATATTTTTAAGTCTGATATGAGGTGGATAATGATGTACAAGCAATGCGTTATATTTGGTATATGGTGTGAGGTTTTATTAATTTTTCTTAATATTACATAGTATATTATTCCAGAATCTTTCTGAAATTATGATTCTCCTTTAAAGAATAGAGTAAATCTTTTATGTTCATTTCTCAGTTTTTCCCATTAATCTATAGCTTTTCTTTCTGAATCAGGATTGAATTGATCATTGTCATATAAATCAATCCCTGCATCAGTTGGGTTAATCTTTCCCAAAAATACTGAATGCTTTTCAGTATTTTTTCATGTTCCTATGTCTTTGCTTTTCAAACATATTTTAGAATAATTTTACTGAGTTACATAAAGTACCTTATTGCTAGTTTAATTAAAAAATAACTTACAAAATGATTAGAGAGAAGTGTCATGATTCTTTTCAGACACCAAGTAAAACTATCTTAGATATTTTAATTTCTTCATATTCTCATTTTTCTGTTCATTTCTTGTATTGCTCTCTTCCTTACATGTCTGACATCTCATTTTAATTGTATTTTCTAATCTATTACTGATAAACACAGCATACACAATGTTAATAACTACATATGTGCTCTCTACAACTAGGGATATCTACAAATACACAAATGTTCCTTTTTAATACTTGTCATTTCTTTTTCCTGTGTTGTTAATGATTTGTCATACAACATTAAGCAGAAAAGATAATAGAATTTTTTATACTGTGTTTTTAAAGGAAATGCTTCTAGCTTAAATCCAATATTTGATTCTTGAAATTAAATATTCTTTAATATATTAAGGGATTGTCTACTTAAAAATTTTTATTTAAAATGTGAATGTGACATTTGAAATACATCTTCTGTACATATATAATTGATTATTCTTATTTGATATATAACACTATATGAATTCTCCTGATAGTAAATATTTAATTTCTGACATTGGTAAATAATTACTACTTTAATAATTTTATATTATCTTTGTTAAAAATTATACATCTATAGACTTAAGTGACTTTAGTTAATAATGCTATATTAATCAAGTTTTAAGTTTAGGACCATCATTATTTGCAGAAGCAAGTATGTAAAGCCATGATTTTGAAGATACAGTTATGTTACACGAGACCAGCTGTTAAAAGAGTCAATTTTAAACTTCTCTTGGAAGCAAAGTTTGAAAACAGTTCTAATCTCTTTATTTGCTTAGATTCTATGAATTGTGTGTTTTACGTTTTGTTTTAAAAAAGTATTGTACATACTGGTTCTTGATAATTTAAAATTTAAATTTCATTGGTAAGATTTTTCTCTATTATTTCTGCCAATGTTTTATAAAATATTAGCCACTCATAAAAACCTACTGTTGGCTATAAATATTAATTTGGTTCTTACATTGACTTATTTTAATAAGATTTTTTTCTCTTTTACATTTGTTGGTATCTTGAAAATTTTTAGTAATTTCAAATCAAGCAACTATGAGCCAGTTTAGTCTCAGGCTACTATATTTTTTTAATTTTCTTTTTTTGGTGATTTGAAGGGGCACATGCACCCCAATGTTTATAGCAGGGCACCCTACTTATCAAAGATTTTGATTTGCAAATGTCATATCCTTTATTTTTTAAATAGTCTATTTTGAATTTACTCCTTGATCTCACTGACAGTAGTGGAATGTTTTGGAAAATTCTCTTTTTAAATAGAATTCTATTCTATTCTATTTGTTCTTATGTTTTGCATCATCATAATGACAGGATTCCACATTCCAAGGATACTGCTCACTTTATATTCTTCCCTAAATTAGGACTCAAGCACCTCTGAGTAATATAAGCTGTTTGTATGGAGGAGGAAGAGTCGAAGGTCATGGAATGGGGTGACTCAACTGCCTGGGAATGGTGCTTTAATAGGGGTATTATGAGGACCCTATTAATAACCCTGGTTAGTAACCCCTTTTTGACGGGTTCATTGCTTTCCAGAGTCCAAAAACTTTGAGCACCTCCAAGGAATCATTATTTCTTCTAGTTGCTACTCATTCTGTTTCTCAGCAAATATATTTTCCATTCCATTGTCCACATAAGAATCTTGTAAAGAGATAACCCAATCCCACGTAAAAGGTCTGGAGTGGGGCACCTGGGTGGCTCGGTCAGTTAAGCGTCTGACTTCAGCTCAGGTCGTGATCTCACAGTTTGTGGGTTTGAGCCCTGCATCGGGATCTGTGCTGACAGCTAGCTCAGAGCCTGGAGCCTGCTTCAGATTCTGTATCTCCCTCTATCTCTGACCCTCCCCTGCTCATGCTGTCTCTCTCTCAGAAATAAATAAAATAAAAACATTAAAAAAATTTTTTTAAAAAAAGGTCTGGAGTTACTTAAGTGTGGGCACTCCAAGAGACTTTACAATAAGCCCTAAAACTCCTGTAGTAGAGAAATCTGATTACCATTACCCAACACTTCCTAAAATTTCTAGTAACAGAATTATTTTTGAGGAACTATTTACTCTACCCAGAGCTAAGTTTTCCTAAGAGGTAATTATGGAAAATGATTATTGTAAAAAATATTAACAGATAAAGTTATTTGAGATGTAACTCTGTATAAACTCAATTTTAAATTCTCTTTTTGGTATACTTAATAGAGTACACACTGGTTCAATTAGTTACATTGTTGTAAATGTCCACTTTCAGGATGCAACACATTTCTAATGGCTACAATGAGTTGAAAGTCTTGAATGTTATGATTATTTCCTCAGCTCCAAAGTCAGATTCTAAGTCCCTAGTTTCCATTTCTTTCTGCCACCCTAAAAGTAAGGAAATAAAACCAGGAGTTTCAGACTCACAAGAGATGAAGAGTCTGGGGAGCCAGCAAAGTCCTTAGACAAGGCATCAAGAAGGAAGTCTTCACTCATGGGCTGGAAGAACCAGAAAATTTATCAACAAACACCACCTCAACTGTTTCCTCATTCTTCAAATGATGTCACGATTTATTGCCAATCGACTTATTAAAAAAGAAAGCTATGCCTTTCCAGAATTAACAATCAGGGCCAAATAAGAAAGATCTACTCAGAGAAAAGTGGTGTGCTTACTGGAAGTGATTCCTTGGGCTCTTTTGGCAGGAGGGGTTTTCCATCTTTATCCTATCCAGGAGAGAAAACCATGATATTAATCATTTCACGTGATTTATCCTGTGGGATTTATCCCAAATATGTACCCTTGTAAACACTGTAAGGGGTCTGCAGGTGATACCTGACGTTGCACATTATAAATGAGATTCATTGTTTCAGGAAAAACATTCTCTCACCAGAGAATATGCTCTAATTAGTTCATTTTAACCAATAGCTCAGGCATTCCCTAGGTGTGGGAGCTACAAAATGAACTGCGCATGGCTTGTGACCTCAGAAGCCTACATGCGGATAGCTGAGGTGGGCACGAGGTTCTGTGACAGGGCTCTAACAGGACACCAAGGGAGCAAAGGGATGCACCCCTCACCTGCCGGGGGGATGGGCTTTGCGAAAGTTGCCTGAAAAAAGCCGGCTAACTTTATAGGCAATATATTCAACCACTTTCCATTGATTCGGTGCCACACCCTGTAGTAAGAATTTAGGAATAGCACAGAAAGTAGGAAAGACCAAATTCTGCCCTGGGGAGCTCATCCTATGACTCAGGTGATGCCATGTTTCAGATGACTCTAAGTGCCACTTCTGAGAAACAGGACAAAAGCATTAAAGCATCTGAAGCTTTTTAGTAATGAAAAATTAATAAATGAATGGTAAATCCCATTTATCCACATACACAAAAATAACTAGGCACAGGGCTATATTTATATATAGTTGTATATAAACACATACAAGTGCATATATGTTTAGTTGTATATTCTCTTAAGTAGTGGCATCTCGTGAAGATGACTGACATTTGTTCTACTGTCCATGTGTGCCCCTGTTGAAGTGGTTGTACTTCAATGACCAATACATAATAGGGACGCCCCCCACCCCGCGCCGCTTGCTGTGTACAATCTATACTTTCAAAATAAATGAAACAGAACTATCCTTCTACTCAATGTTAAACAGACTTTCTTACTTTTCAATGAATATCTAAGAGTTGCAAATTTTTCTTCATAGGAAATAATTATTCTTCAGTTTGGTTTTTCTAGTTATATAAAGGCTCTCTAAGTTTTTCTTTTGCTTCTGGTATTGTAACAAACCAGGTATTACATGGGAAAAAATGAGGCATCTTAGGCATTAGATTTTTTTCACTCAAGGGAAAAACTTTCACTTAAAAACAAGTTCTTTGTATTCTGGGCCTGTTTCCATGTCCCTTCTTTATGTTTATAAAATTTGGTATTAATTAAAATAAAATAGAAAAACACCCCAAGCTGTTTACCTTGATGTCTTCTAATCTATAATCAGGAGGAATTGTTTCTTCTTTTTCACCTAGTTTTTCACGATCCTCTTCTTTGGCTTTCTCCTGAATAAAAATTATACCATTCTCATTACTAACACATCCCCACAAAGCAGATGCCTAAGTGCCTACATTTGAGGGAAGTAACTCCATTATTAGGTGAGAACATATGTATGGCCTATGTGTAGAGTTCCTACAGCAACCTCATCTTCACACCCTCCCCTACCTCAGCCGGCTCAGACACCACCACCATGCTCACTGGGCTCAAAGGCAACGGTGAGGTGGACAGCTGCCTCTTCTCTCAGGACTCCTTGGCAGTGGAAATGCATGTGGCCCAGGTGAGATTCAGAGGTTATGTGCATGCAATCCATGCAGTGAAACACTACTTTACTCAGGTTAGATTATTAGGCAGGATATGCTCCATAAACAGATAAAGCCAGCTGATCATGTGTTGTGGGAAATTAAAAAAAAAAAAAAGATGACTAACTTGCTTGGGGAGTGAGGAACATTAGTAACAGCTATTTTCAGTAAGTGACTGAGCTGCTATTACCTTGACTTTATCCTCTACAGGCTTTCCATCTTCTGGATCTGCTTCCTTTTTCCCCAGGCTACCAGCCAAGGCTTCTACAGCATCATCTGGCACCTTGCCTTTCTAAAAGCATATTCATGGATATACGAAGAAGGTAGTTAATCACTCCTTTTAAAAGAGACTACAACAAACAATTCAGAAGGGCATATCCTTATTTCAGGCTTGGATAAGCAGCACAGTCATCTTTTAATAATCTGAATTTCCAAGTGAATTGGAATCTATGTTTAGGGGTGCCTGGGTGCTCAGTTGGTTAAGCATCCAACTCTGGATGGCTCAGGTCATGATCTCACGGTTTATGAGTTCAAGCCCCTTGTCAGGCTTTGCACTGGCAGTGCGGAGCCTGCTTGGGATTCTCTCTCTCCCTTTCTGCTACCCCCACCCCCAATAAATAATATTAAAAAACCTTTAAAATCTCTGTTTTAAAAACCTAAAATAAGAAAATTAGACCAAATTTCTTAAATTAAGTGAGTGCAACATGTACTGACAAGGAGAAACTTAACATAAACTAAACCAGCATCTTGGTTTGGAAATAAAGTAGACAATAGTTGGGTATACGTCAGATAAGTGGAAAGCCAGCAAAGAAGTGACCTTTATGGTGATCATTCTAGAGATGGCCCAGGAAAGATTTTCAGAAAGACCTATGAAAGGACATTCCTCTTAACGTTCTGTGAAATAAGCCTGGCCCATCCCAGAGGTAGTGGCTGGGGCAGAGCCTCGACTGACACACAGAAGTTAGTGTTCTTTATGAGGCTTCCACTGGCCAAGGTGGATGCGTGCTGATTCAGGTGACTGACTAACCTGAGTGGCACAACGGGAACTGTCTACTTGGGGTCCCACTGTTCAAAAGGAGATGTGCTCCCTCATGCAGTCAGCCCTAGCCATGCTGGTTCTTAAAATGAAACTGGGTGAAGACAACATGAATGATATAAAGGGGAAATAAAGGAGAAATTTTGTTTTGGCTAAAAGATAGGACTCGATTTGACTTTTTCGAAATCACAGGTCAAGATCCACATATTGGTGGTTCATAAAAGCAATTCAACAGTTTATGGGCAGGACATTTAAAATTTTTTTTATTTTGAGAGAGAGAGACAGAGAGACAGCGTGAGCGGGGGAGAGGCAGAGAGAGAAGGAGACAACAGAATCCCAAGCAGGATCCACACCATCAGTGTACAGGAGCCCGAGGTGGGGCTTGAACCCACGAAACCATGAGATCATGACCTTAGCTGAAACCAAGAGTTGGATGCTTAACTGATTGAGCCACCCAGGTTCCCCAGGACTTAATTTTTTTTTTTAACAACAGAAAATAGGATGCATCATACATAACAAGGATAAGTACTACTAATTAAACTTTTTTTTCTATTATATAGATACTGGGTTGAAATATCAATGAATTTCCTATTGCTGCTCTTGGTCAAAGTGTGAAAGCTTCTGAATTAAAAAGTCTCAAAGTTTATTCTGATAAAATCCTATGACCTCACATAGAATACATATTTGAATATTAGAGTAAAAGTGTCTGTTTTATATGGCTTAAACATCAATGTAAGAAAAGTTTTTCTGCTAAGCTGCACTGCAAAAGATCAACGAGGAAATGGAACCTGAGTGGAAGGTGATTTATCACCATCTGGTGGTTGGACACTGCATAGATTTTATTCCCAGGAGCCACAAAAATCCCTGATTATCTAATTTGTTTGGGATTCTATCTGAAGTGCAAGAGGTACGGTGACCAAAGTCTTAACCAAGCAATCAGAATCGCTAGCTGATCTAAGACACGTCCTCACATGTAATTTACTTCGGTTTTTTTCCTGCTCTCTGCTGTGGAATCTTTGGAAACTACTACTTCCTGTTAAGCTTGTTCCCCTTGGTTTGGTTTAAGAATTAAACCACAGAGCAAAGCTAGGAGACACAGCAGTCGTTAAGAACGAAGGAATCAGGAAACAGGACTAGGGCCTGAAACTTCTATTTCTGTAGTATTTCATGTTGTCAAATTCACAACTAGTATTGAGATTTTCTTAACTCACTTTCTTCTTATACGAACAAGAACTGCACAGGGCACACATTCAGCTCCTTCCTATGCTCAGTTTTCTTTGGCTCACATCTCCAAGCGCTTCTTAGGCCCTCTGACCTTTGTCACACTCCATAGCTATTCTTTCTGGCTCTCATGGATATCCCAATTACAGAAATGCCAACCAATTTCAGTGACAGTAATCTCAGCAACCATGGTCAGCAGAGCTGATGGGACAGAGGCCCAGAAAAGTCCATCAGGAAATGGAAAAGCAGAGCGCTTTTCTGTGCACTAAATATCCAGTGCTCGACTCTATAGTCAGGGTAAAGTTGGAAAGGAATGAGCCCTGGAAGGCCCTGGCGGTCACCTGGAGCACAAGAGGCAGAGGATACATACATGTTTAGGTCACAGAGTTCTGCTCTGGAATGTTGGCTATTGTCTTTTTGATTCCAGTCACTGCCTCTGTTCTTTCTTCTTCACTGTCTTACCCCACATTCTCTCCCGCTCTCCAATTCTTTATTACTGTGGCCTGTGGCTTAATTCCCACAATGTAAAAGTTCAGGAGTGTACCCACAGACCTCAAAAAGAGGTCAAGTCCCGTGTAATGCAGAAGGGAGACCCTGGACTTTGAGGGGATTTTCACTAGGCACCAAGAATGTCCCTGGCAGGAAGCAGCCACATCAGGACACCCAAGACACATGTCCTACAACTTCTGCACCCTCTTTTCTTGAACAACTAAATGCACTAAACCCAAGTGCACCAAGTGCTTTGCACCTCTATGCTCCCCTGTCCTTGACTTACTGTTCTCCCCAGGAAAACAGTGCTATTCCACTTCCCAGTGTGATCTTGCTCTCCCTCTGTGAGTATTTCCTAATTCCTCCTAGGGGCAGGTACCTTTGTCCATGTTCCCCCTGCATTTTTTCCGTATGAGAATGATCACAATTGTACTGTAAAGCTTGAGACTCAGCCATACATCCACACTAGATGCTAACGTAACTGAGAGCAGGAGCCTTATCACTTATCTCAACAAGGCTCTGAAAAGTTAAATGGATTGCTCAAGGTCAACTCTAAGTTTCATTTCCCTCATCTATAAGAGAGAGATGATCAGAACAGGGTTCATAATGTCCTTGTGAACATTTAATATGAAGATCCTGCAAAGCATCTAGAACAACTTAGCTATTCACTAAGTCTATGGTAATACAGCACAGTTCCATCAACTGTTACTGAGTCAGATTCTACCTGCTAACAGAAATGAAACTCATAGAATTCAAAAAGAGAGATTCAACTATTTAATTACCATACTTCATACAAAAGTTAGAAAGTGAGATAAAGTCAAGGCAAGAAGAAAGGGGAAAGGAACTGAGTTAACCCCCTTTCAGATGGAAGTGGAGAGAAGTCGTGATGATACTGGTGCAGATTATTCTGCCAGGAGAGCCAACGAAAGGTACCATCAGGCTATCTGTGGAACTCCCAATACGCTTGAAGATGTGGGAAAGTGAAAAAGCATGATTATCCACCACAGCTGAGGAACCACAAAGAATTTCAGAAGGTGAAAGAAAAAAAAACAGCCTGCAGAAGTTTAATAAACACCTTAAATCTAGCCTGAATTTGTAGCACATCCTGGCTACAAAAGAACAGTAGATCCCATAGTTCTGTAAGATTTTCTTTTTATCTTATCAGAATAAAGTGTATGTTGGTAACATACAGCGGCAAGTGCATGGGAGAAAGAACTACCTTCCCAGGACACTGCTCAATGTGCAAGGCAGCACTCACCAAGGGAGCTGGCTTGGTCGGTGCGGACAGTATAGTACACATGGAAGTCCGAGGCACAGCCTCGCTCACAGGAGTCAAGGCAGAAGCCTGAGATGCCTGCGGAGAGAGGCAAGTACAACGAGGAGGTTTTAGAAATATCTGGTAAGACTCAACAAGGGACTACAATACACTCTGCTATATTATATGCTGTGAGCATGACTTTCTCAAATGCCTAAGGATTGCTAAATAGTGAATAAATAGAGGCAGGTAGAAACTCTTCTACCATTATTTCAACTTGGTTTTACCTCTTACCTTAGGTAGGTTACTTAACCTCTCTGAGACTCAGTTTTCACATCTGTAAAATGAGAACAATAATAGTACCTACATCTCAAGGGTCAGTGTGAGGCTTTCAATGAGATAAAACATGTCCAGTGCTTTGCATACTATCTAGGAACATGGTTGGCTCAATAGTATCAGCAACTATTATTATTAATATTGTTTTCAGAAAATATATAGCAATGATATGTCAATTATATAAAGTAATGTTTTATATAAGTGCATCATTTTTATATATTTAAGAGTATCTTATCAACTGTAAACAGGTATGTTTACAAATGTATGGTAGTCATACTATCCCAGAGGTTCTCAAAGTGTGGTCCCTGGACCAGCAGCATCAGCCTTACCAGGGAACTTGTTACACATGCAAATTCTTAGGCCTCCACCCCAAATACTACAGAAATTCTGGAGGTGAGGCCCAGTAATCTGTATTTTAACAAACCCTCAGGTGAGCCTGGTATTAAAATTTGAGAACCACTGTGCTATCTTATTTTATCACAAAGTAAAATTTCAAACAAACTGTTTTTAATCCAGACATTTATGAAAGGTTATCCTACAAGTAAGGTGCTCAGTAGACGGTCATTAATAGGCCACTGTCCCTTCTTTCAAGGAACCTACTATTTACTAAAAACTATGTATACACATCACCGGTGAAGACTAAGACAGATAAAAGCTTGCCTGTAATAAAGATCCTAACAGATATACAAAGAACAACAGAGCCCTGGGTGTACTGTATTCTGCGTAGGTAGGTCTGGAAGGGTGGTAAGGTTGGGGGAGGAAAAAGCAGGAAACAAAGGCCATACTTGAGCACAGCTTTAAAGGCATGACTAACATTTTTGATGATCTCGAATTAGGAGGGAAGGTTATCCTACACAGAATTCTACAGAACCACATGAGAAAAGCCAAGGACACATACATGTAAGCACTTATTGTTACGCTTTAGTAATGGGAGAACACATCTAGGGAGGGAAGGAAGCCGGGGCCAGAACACATTAACAGCAACTTTTATTTTGTGGGCAACGGGGAGCTCCTGAAGGTTGGAGCACAGGAATGATATGACCACCACATCTTTCTGGAAGGAATAATTACAGGACTTAAATTACAAGAACATCTGGGCCAGTTTGGGAAAAGAAAGCCCATCTAGAAAAAAATCAAGATGCAAACTGCATGTAAAAAAAAAAAAAAAGATGGAATAATGGGTCTCCATCAACTACTTCATGCTAAAATAGATTGGGCCTCACATTTTTAAGATTATAGAAAAATATCTTCAAAAGCCCCACAAAATAGAGACTTCTATTTTTAGAAACATACTTCTGTTGTTTTTTCGGTTGTCTTAGATTGTTTTCCTTCACTTTTAGGCTGGTCAAAATCTTCTGAAAGTTCATCAATAAGTTCTGATTCACTCAGGAGCTGGAATATAAGAAAAACATTATTATGAAGTGACTTTTTTGGTTACAAAAAAGTTTTACATAGAGTATTCTCTGTTAACACATATTAAGCCGTATTTTAGGATCTAAAACCAAAATTCATATTTGGGGTGTTTTTTATTTATCAATGTAAGATAAATGGCATGCAACAAATAAGGAATACTAAACACTGGAGTACCACAAAAACGTTCTTGATTCATTTAGTCCAACGTTTTCCTGATACTTCAGTTTCAGAAGAATTTTCTTTACATAAAACTGCCTTTTCTTTCCGATGAAGATCTGTCTAGTTTTTTTCGAATCTGACTGTTTTTCACAATTTCCTAATGACCTCCTAGAACACAGATCATATACTCCTTTCCTAAGACTCTGGGATTTTGGCAGCAGAGTTCTCCCATCCCTACCTCCTTCAGATAAAATGGTATCATTCATTTAGAGCACGTGGAGATTTTGACTAATACCAATCATCTACGACAGAACAGAATGTGATTCTAGAAGCTATGCTTCTGTGCTAAGTAAACGCTCTGAGTTTTAAGTCCTGGCCTTGCTGGTTTTTAGTTGTATGATCTTTACATCTTTACGCTATTTACATAACGTCTCTCTTAGTTTCTTCACACCTAAAATGGGAAAGATAACAGCACCCTCTTCATTCAGTGAGGACCTGACTGGTTGAGACCAAGCTAAGGCAGTGTAGAATCATTAAAGTATCTGATGTCATGATTATAATCAAACTGTGAAGTGCCAACAATCGGAGACCCTCTTGACATCAGCTCCTAATGTCCAATGATTTTCACCTAGAAACTCCCAATATTCTAGTAATAATTCATGAGGAAAAAAAATAAAGTATGTGAAAAGGAGTCAGAGATATGAGCCAAGTGTTGCTATCACAAGTCACCCTCTCTTTACTATGAGGTTGGCATTCAAAGTCCCCCGAGTGAAATCCTGTCAGTCAAAATGATCCTCAATTTATACTTTGCAGTTCTTTTGCTCTTTAATTATCAGAAGAATATTTTCTAACCTTGGATTTTTCTTCGGGCTCTGGCAAAAGTGGTTTTCCATCTTCATCCTGTAAACAAAATTGAAAACTCATTGAAAATGAAATAGAACATTTTCTTTTCATGGCCCAGTAAGTTTCTTCTAAGGAATTCCAGGATAGGAGAGAGACTTTTTTCTTCTTATATTTTAATGATTTGTTTTTGAGTGAATTTTTTATATTTGGGTGAATAAATTTTCAGTATTTTTAAAATCAAGTATCAGAATAAAGAGCTAAGCTCTAAAATAAATAAACTTTTAAAAAAAGTCTCTGTTCTCCAACCCAGGGTAAAGAGCTAGATCTCATTCCTACAATTCATTTTTTGTATTTTTGGAGATGAGGTTTCAGAATTTAGAATATTTGTAAAACAGAGAAACCTTCTAGATAAGCACATACAAGGACACTTTCTCTATATAAGCATGAGAAACGTTTTCCGTCATGTGTTTACGTGTAATTTTCCAAAGATAAATTAATGTAATTTACAGAATATAATTACAGAAGTCCACCTTCCTCACATTAAACCCAAACCCCTACCAGCAAAACCACCCTAACTAAGGACACGGATAAATAGCTGTACATTTATGTCTATACCCCCTTCAAAGATCTATGGTGCTTTTATCCATACAGCAGTTACAGAAAAATTTATTCCCAAATTGTTTCTTATGCTTCAAGGTTACATGCATTGTTAATAGCTGGAACACTTGGATTTGCGGGAATTTTAACCACCACATGGTTACTACTTCAGAGACCATCAACTAGCTTTAGAGAGCAGGAAAGAAAGGGTTTAGGGTTTTCAGTTAGTATATGAACTAGCATAATCATGTCCTTAAGCATCATGGGAACAGGCCCAACAGAAAATGAAGACAAGAGGGACATATTCTGTTAGGTGCCATGGCTAACAGCATACCGTGGCTGGCTTTAATCTATACTCCGATGGGACGGTTTCATCATCTTCACCACACTTTTTAAGTTTTTCTTCCTTGGCTTTTGCCTGATCAAAGGGGAGAAGGAAATAAAACACAAAACATGTGGGTAATGCAGGTAAAACAAGAGGGTATCACTTTATGTACTTCGTGAGTGATGTACAGAAAACCATCTCAGATTCAAGTGTGTCTCCATGCTTTGTAAACTACACAGCACAAAACCATGGTAAGCGGCTGGCTGTGAGGAAGACAGCATTAAATGAAGAGAAAAACAACAGGGCCAGGAATCCTGGAGAGATGCCCCTGACCTGTTCTCAGGTGCGCTATGACCTTGGGGAGCCACTTGGTCTTTCTTCAGCTGGAAAAGAGGGCTAACAATCATTTTTACCTAGTCCACTGACTTGTAAGGATCACTAAAGAAACGGAAATAAAATATCCTTTGAGACCATTAAGCACCATTAAGCATTAAGCACAGTGAAGATGTTAGTTGTAATTGTTTCAATAGCCGTCATGTCTTACTCAGTTATCTAGGGGGAAAAACCAAGCAGTTCCCAGGAATGTTATATACAGTCCAGATATGGGAGAAGCATCTCATCACAAATCTTGGCTGATCCATGGATAACTGGTTTTACCTCTCTTGAAAGGACTTTTTTTTTAATAATTTTTAAAAAAAAATTTCAGTAGTGTTAATATACAAGGTTACGTAAGTTTCAGGTATATGATACAGTGATTTAACAATGCTATACATTACTCAGTGTTCATCATGGTAAATGTACTCTTAATCCCCTTTATCTAATTCATCCATCCCCCTACCTCCCCTCCGCTCCCCTCTGGTAACCACCAGTTTCTTCTCTAGAATTAAAAGCCTGTTTCTTGGTTTGTGTCTACCTCTTTTGTTTGTTTGCTTGTTGTTGTTGTTTTTTTTTCCTATATTCCACATATGAGTGAAATCATAAGGTGTTTCTCTTTCTCTGACTGGACTTACATCACTTAGATTTTCCAGCTGCATGCATGTTGTTGCAACTGACAAAATTTCATTCTTTTTTTATGGCTGAACAATATTTCATTGTATGTATATACCACATCTTCTTTATCCATTCATCTACTGATGGACACTTGGGATGCTTCCATAAGTTGGCTACAGTAGATAATGCTGTACTAAAAAAGGACTCCCTTCACTAAGGACTTAATGGGATTACTGAACCATGAATAACCAACTGCATTAGAGATAAAAGTGTAGTTCTATAGTAGACCCCTGGCTTCTAGATGGGAAGTTCCATGATATTTAATAATTGATACCTGTACCAAGGCATGGATTTAGATCACAAAACAAGGAGCTCCTGTGCACAAAGAGGAATATCACACAGCAAATTCCAGCTTAACTTACTGCTCTATATTTCAACCTAAAATTGTAGTTCTCAATTGAAAGAGTGCTTGATTTCAAAAATATTAAGCACTTGTAATGAGCCAAGCACTCTTCTAGGCTTAGAATTACAGTTTTATTGTCCTATAAATTAACAACTCTCATTAAGGGATGAAAGTTTTTTTGTTTTTTTTTAATATTTCCAGTTATATTCTACTGCAACAACACATGGAGGAAATCCTATTATGTAGTGGTATTATTCCCCATTCAGAGATTTGTGAGGTTTCCAACCATCACACAGACTTCATGAAAAGTCAAAAAGTCACCTGTATAAGACTATCCTCTCCAGGCTGTGGACAATAAGGATCACATGCACAGTTAAATCTTTTCTATTCCTGTTTGATCTTTACATATATATTTTTTAGTTTATTTATTTTGAGAGAAAGAGAGTTTGAGCAGGAAAGGTACAGAGAGAGAATACCAAGCAGTGACAGTGTGGAGCCCGATGGAAGGCTTCATCCCACAAACTGTGAGATCGTGACCTGACCTAAATTCCAAAGTTGGTAACTTAACCAACTGAGCCACCCAGGTGCCCCTGATCTTTATATTCTTCAAATGCCTGCAATGTAGGCACTGAGAACTAGGTCTACTGAATTGAAATAGCACCAGACCAGGTAACCACAGACAGAAATGGGGAGGATAAATGAGGTACTATTGTAGAATACTTATATTATGATACATTATAAGAATGATAAGTAGGCATGGAAGTCTTCTCTAAAGCATTATGCAGTTCCCTGTAGAGAGCTCTCTAGTATAGAATATACTGAAGTGGGCTTTGGACTCCTATAGAATATTAAACTTTATGAGGCTTATCACAACATGAGACTATCCAGAAAGTAATAAACTCACTATGAGGCACTAAAATTCAGCTTAAGAATCCAGAAGATTGGAAGATCTTAGGAAATTTTTATACTTTGTGCATACTTAGAAAAACTACTTGGATGTTAAGTAAGCAGTAAGTAAATAAATAAATAAATTTTGGAAAATAGTATAAGCTAAAGAAATGAATAGAAAGAATGGGAAGAACAATCCTTTTAGTTTTAGTTAGAATTTTAGGGGTTTACTGCTATGTAGGTTTTCTAGAAAAAACATAATACATTTATACATGTATCCCAAAACTAGTTACCCCAACTACTCAAGAGCTTATTTTTATGCAACATTTTTTACAGCTACTTACCTGATTTTAGTCACCCTAAGTTTCTTTGCCCTGAAATTTATGTTTATACCTTTCCTCCCCCAAATTACGGTCTTATTAAATCACAGCATTCTCTGTAAAAAGCCTTGGAAAAAAGTACAATTGGCTCCCTACCCTGTAGCCACCCGGTGCTGGAAGCGTAACTCAACTTGGTCTGCTCCCTGCACCCCCCCCCCCCCCCCCCCCCCCCCCCCCCCCCCCCCCCCCCCCCCCCCACCCCCCCCCCCCCGGCCCCCAGTGTCCTTCCGGGCCCACCCTCTCCCTCAGACATCTGTCTATGTGGCTGCTTTAAATAATGTGTGTCTCGCACTGTCTTTATGAAAGTTTCCTTTCTTCTCAATACATTACTTGGTCCTGGAGGACAAGGACTGCTTCCCCAGCTCCCTTGTGTTCGTCTTCACGAAGCCTGTCATGCCACACCACGCCTGGTGAGCCCTCAAAGAAAGCTGAAGATAGAAACTGGCCCATTGTGGACCAGAGCAGTCCCAGACTCAGCGAGAGTTGCCGGGAGTCTGGGAGACTCACCTTCCTCAGTGATTCAGAACAGGAAGTGACAGAAGAGAAAGGGCATTATGACAGCGACACCTGCCTGCTCCCCTCCCTGAGCCAGTATGCTGGTGCTCCCGAGGGTGCCCAGGCTGTACCTCCATGCCCCCAACTATACTGCTTTGTCAACAATGCCCACAGGCCATCTTCCTCTTTTATACCAGAGAACTCAGCTGAAATAGTCTTTAGAAACTGTAATTTCATATTAAAACTCTCCTCCACCAAATAGAAGTTTGCTTTGGCTCAGAAGGCTTGTTAAGATGTTGAAGTGTGGTAGCCATGCAGGAAGTGCAGTTACAGAGTTAATCGTTGCTTGATATTATTCTAATTTGAGACAAGATTTTCAACAGTTTTCTTCGTGGTTATAATAAGGATCTCCTCTCCCCATCCACAGCATTCTCTCTCTCTCCTTATAAAGAGAAGCACCTGGAAACCTTCTGAAAATACAAATTTCCAATGTCCACAAGAGTAGACAACCTCTTTCTCGCCCAGCCACTGCCTCCAGGTTACCTTGTTTAGTCAGGTGTCATTTAAACATTGGCAGAAGAGATTAGCATTCACTATACATATTAAAATGCTAGATGTTTAAAAGACAAATTCTCAAAGATCCTTCTTGGTTGCTAACCACGCAAGAATGAAGATCTAAGTTAACTAGACTCTGAAAGTAAAGCAGAAAAGAAAAGTTGTTTAAGAATTCTAAACATGCATAATGCATTTAGCTTCACAACTCGCAGAATGACATGCTTTGTATATGAATCAAGGTCAGTACCTCATCAACTTCCTTAATGGAGCTGAGGTCAAGCTCAGGTTCTGGCTTCCGACTGCCCAGAGAAGCTGAAAGAGCCTCCAGTGCTTGATCGCTCATTGTGTCCTAAAGAGGGAAAAATTTTGTACATTAGAAAAGGAAACATCTCCTTGCGTGAATAATCTATCCACTTCTTTGTGAAATCCCAATTTTAAAATTCTAAAATGAGTTTCAGATTAGGGGAGGACTTTAGGAAGGCAATTTTACTGGAAACCTAGCAGGAGAGAGAGAGGAAAAAAAAAAGAAAAAAGAGAACTTACCAGTGAATGAAAATTGGGGCTTAGACACTTCCACAGTGTCTTACGTCGTTTCTACCCTGGGGGCACACTTCACCCCTTATTTCTCAAGCTATAATTATTACAAAATATTCATATCAAAATAAAAACTGCAAGAAGTAAATTTTCACTTTATTGTTGTTTTTTTAAATGTGTCTCTAGAAATAATTTCTGACAACACTGTCCCTTAGCAAACTAGCAAAGCCCAGGAAGCTAGGGAGCCTGAAGTGGCTCCTGCAGCTTCTAGTCTGAATGCACAACGGCTGATTGCTGTGGGGACTCCTGCTCTCAGGGTGTGGCTCTCACTGCTCTCCCAGTCAGCCTGATAAAAATAACTGTCCCCTCCAGGAAGGGAGAGGCAAAGCAGATCCGACACAAACTGCTCCCTGCATTATCTGGACTATCTGTAGATGGAGCACGGCTTCTCATCCAGCAGGTGAGCTGCAGGACCACTGTTCAGGACTAGGAACAATTAGGTGATTGTGGTTAACAGAAGCAAACTACAACCACATCCTACTAGTGATTCACAGGTCAAACTCCATTAGAAAATCATGGTGAGTAGGGGACTGGGTGGCTCAGTTGGTTAAGTGTCTGACTGTTGGTTTTGGCTCAGGTCATGATCTTGCAGCTTCATGGGATCAAGCCCTACATCAGGCTCTCTGCTGGCAGCACAGATTCTCTTGGAATTCTCTCTCTCTCTCTCTCTCTACCCCCCCCAACTCTTCCTCTCTGCTCCTCCCCCACTTGCACTGTCTAGATCTCTCTCAAAAATAAACTTAAATAGGAGGATTAGGAGGAACTTGACGGAGGAACAAGGGGGAGAAGAAGGGCGGAAATGGTGGGGGAAAGGGAGAGAGGCAAACCATGAGAGACTCTTGAATGCTGACAAAAACTGAGGACTGATGGATGTGGGGGGGAGGGGGGGATGGGCATGGAGGAGGGCACTTTGGGGATGAGCACTGAGTGTTATGTAGAAACTAATTTGACAATAAACTATTTGTAAAAAAAAATAAATAAATAAATAAACTTAAAAAAAAAATCACAGTGAAGGTTTATGTTCTAAGAATGCAACGGTTTTGTTGGTGTCTTATCTTTCTGTGTGTTCGAATGATGAGATTACAGAGCAGATTCTCTTGGGATTCTCTCTCTCTCCCCCTGTCTCTGGCCCTCCCCCACTTGTGCTGTCTAGGTCTCTCTCAAAAATAAGCTAAAAAAAAAAAATCACAGTGAAGGTTTATGTTCTAAGAATGCAACTGTTTTGGTGTCTTATCTTTCTGTGTGTTGTAATGATGAGATACTCGTTTCACACCAAAAAGGCTGTGCTCAAATAATGAATAGCATTTGCAGAAATACAGAAGGCCTGTCTGGAGATAATCAATAGAACCCTGACTGGATTTACTAGTCCACACAGACCCCGGAGGGAAAAAAGATGCCCCTCATCATGTGTTAACGTTCTATTAGGATTTCCCTGCATCAGTTAAATCAGGCTCAGGAAAGCAAGTGCTGTCAGGCAGACCATGGTTATTTTCAAAGAAGTAATTATTTATACCTCCTCCACCTTTCTTTTTTTCTCTTGGGGTGCAGCAGCACTTTTGACTACCCTGGCTGGCTGAGCTTTGAGAACTTCTTCTGTAGATTTCTGAAAGGCGAAATGTAAAAGATTAGACTTAAAGACAGAAGAAATGTAATGGTAATAACCAGAACTGAAAAGTTGTTTTAAAGTTTAATGTGGTTTCTAACAAGCTCCCCCTAATTATTTGGAAAACAGTACCTCTTCCTTAGTTTTCTTTTCACCAGCGGTAGGAGAACTGCAGGTGAAGTCAGATGACAAAGCATCTATGGCATCACTGGGCCCCATGGGTTTCTGAAGAAACAGGCACCACAATGGGTAACATGTGAGTGTCATTCAGGTTAAGTTTGTATCACAATACAAACTTGGCAGATGAAGAATGTGTGACATTCCTTTACTACCAAATCAAGTATGTTATCACATAACTTAGATAAAGTCTATGTTTGGAAGGGAACAAGTGCTAACAGTATTTTCCTGTTTCCCTCCTTTAAGTGGATTTCATATTAGGACATTCTCATTCTATTTTTAATAACATTTATTTTGCCCTAATACTTGATTGGTTCCATTCTTCTTCGCCTTAAAAAAAACTATACATGAAGCCATGAGCACTGAGACAATTCCCATACCCATCCCCTTTCTCTGAACAGATGGAAACTTGATCTGATTTAGAGATTAGTCACAGACTCGATATAGAGAATCGATGCCCCATCCCCCAACCAAAGATTTAAATAAAGGTTAATTTGGATCTTAGAAGACATTTATGTAAACTCACCGAAGAGTCTGGAGGAGGCCCTGTGATACCTTCTTTTTTCTGAAACAAATATTAATGTGAACATGTTGAAAGCCCAAAATTAACTTTTACAATTGGCAAAATGTACTGCTCAGTAACTGTCATGGGCTGAATTGTGCCTCCCCACAACTTTTCAAGAGGCTCTCGTACTCCAACTTGTGACTGGATTTGGAGATGGGGCCTTTCAAGAATTAATTAAGGTTAATTGAGGACATCAGGACGGGCTTGAACCCCAAAGACTGCTGTTCTTATAGAAGTGGGGAATGTGGACCCAAAGATGTATACACAGGGAAGACGGGCACGTACAAACCAAGGAGAGAAGCCTCAGATCCATGCTTCACAATCCTCAGAAGGAACCCACACTACCTACACCCAGATTGGTTTTCTAGCCTCTAGACTGTGAGACAAAGTATTTCTGTTGTTCAAGCCAGTCACTCTATGGTACTTCCTTATGGCAGCCCCAGCAAATGATTAAGAGTGAGAGTCATTGTAACAACAACTTCACATGCCCCATTATATTTTCTAAATTTAAAAAACGTGAATATATTCATGGGCTATGATTATGTTCCAAAAAGTAAAAGTAAATGATTATTTAACTTACTGCTAAAAGTTCCCTGTATTTTGGAGGAATTGTGACTTCTCTTTTACCTAATTCCTCTATGTAGGTGGAAGTCATTGGATCCTGGAATAAAAAATCACACAGAGGGATATTGTATAATTAATTAGCTGAGTATGTTACATGCTATTATGCAACCAAAGTACTGTTCCCATTAGTAATTTATCAAGCTACTGAAATGAAATGCAAATCATTAAAAAGCCAATACTTTACACAACTCTGATATTCTAAGTTTTTACAATACTTGCCCTTATTTAATTAGCTTAATCCATAACTAATCATAGAAAATATTCAAACTATATTAAATTTTATTCTTATACTAAAACATTTTATTTTAAAACATTTTTCATTGCCTCTAATACACACAAAAGTACAGCTAATAATAAATTTCTCTATAAGCTAACACCCAAGTCTTCCAGATCTAACTTCTAAGAAAAAAAGTTCGGATAGAGTCATGTCTCCTATTTAACCCTCTACTATCCCATTCCTTTCCCTGTTAGTCTGCGACAGACACAATCCTGAACTTTATTGTATCTACCTTAAAACCGAACACATTTTAAAACAATTATTCCAAATGTAGGTATCCACAATCAACGTACAGCATCACTTTTCATATTTTTTCTTCTTTTTTTAATTGAAAAAGTACAGAATGCTTTACAAATTTGCATGTCATCCTTGCAGGGGCCACACTAATCTTCTCTGTATCGTTCCAATTTTAGCATATCTGCAGCCAAACTGAACACTACTTTGCATATTTTCAAATGTTATATTAATGGCATCATATTCTAGGTATCATTCTGTACCATTCTTATTCAAAATTATGTTTTTGTAATGTATCCCTGCTGGTATATGAATAATTCATTTTGACCATAATAAAATGTTCCATTATTATTATCTTGTCTGCTGTTGATCAAAATTATGTCCAAATGTTTCACCTGTTCTTGTAACTCCTGGTGCCCATGGGTAAGGCTTCCTGCAGGGAATCTCTCTAGAGGTGGACTTGAGAGTTGAAGGACAAGTACATCTTCAATATCCACAGGCTCTATGTCAACTGTCAAACTTCTACACTTTCGCCAACCTGAGGCATGCATTCTCTCTATATTTTAGTGCCATTTCTCTAATTACCAAAAAGACTTTCATTTTTACTTAATTTATTAGCCAAACAAGTTTTCTCCTATTTTGCTATTGGGCTGTCTTTTAAAAATTCTTCATAAATTCTAGAAACAGATCCTTTGTCACGTCTGTTGCAAGTATTTTCTTCCAGTCTTTTGCATGTCTTTTTATTCATTTTTTTTTATTATCAAGGAACATATCATTTTCTTGTTTTTTGTGGGTAAGGAATAGGGATAAGCTGAGGGTGGTAAATTTCTAGAAATCAAAATAAGTTCAAGTCTAGCGGACTTAAATCTCGAGGACAGTAAGATCTTTGTGATACAATAGGATGTATCCCAGCACCAGTTATAACACAGCCAATCAATAAATGTTTGCTGAATCAATGTAATAGGATAGCTACCATAGGACAAACCATTTCCATTTATAACACCAGTTTTAGTTGCCATTATTGATAGCAACACCATCCTGTTTCTCTCCAAGCAACAGAACACGAGGTATTCTTTTGTGCCTCATGACCATGACCTTATTTTCTTTCCTATCCATTATGCATGAACCTTTACAGATACCAAAATCACATACTGAAACTTCAGGTCCAGTATATGTTGTGTTATCTTCTTCAGTTTCTTCAGGTCCTCCTAAAGTGTCTACTAAATCATCCAAAGCAGCATCCATGTCTGACTAGAAAAGAAAGAGAGCAGGTATTTAAATGCTATTTGTAATACAGATTTCCCTTCTGGTTTTTTAATTACAAAAAAAAAAATTATGTACAGAAAAACACCAAACTTCAAAAGTTCTTCAAATATTAAAATAGTTAAAATCTCTAAGAGACCTTATTATGTAAGGCCCCAGAGTACACATTCCAGGTTGGAAAGACAGAAAGCCATGTTCAGGTAAGAATCACAACTTCAGTAAGTGTAACGGCATTAACTACAGAACAAATGAATGGTTCATTAAAGCTGCCATTCCAATATACTGACAGTTAAAAAAAACCACACACACACTAGAGAATAATGATCATGTAATTGTATGCAATAGGAGAAATTCTTTGTATTCACTGCTTATCAATAGTTTTCCAGAGTTATATATTTACAAAGAACTCCAACAAAATCTCTATATAGCACCTCTCCCAAAAAGAATCTATTTCAAAGATGGATTGCCTGTGTTCTTTCATTCATTTGTGGCTTTTTGTTCATTTGCTCGCCCAAAGAGGTCTACAAAACATATTACTTAAAAGGGATATTAATTAAGCTTGTAAGACGTGACAATTTACTCTGTCAATATGGACTATAATCAGTATAATAAATGAAGGAGTGCCTCTATCCTATCTCTGAGGTTTAGAATGACTCATTGTAAAGAATATGCAGCATTTAAAAGGGAAAACAAGAATTCTGGGAAAGACCCTTTACTTACTTTACTCAGATTAAAAATGATTAACTTTTTTTTCTTTCAACAACCATATTCCCACTACAATTTTAGGAACTCATCTGCTCATGTAATACAATTTGGGACCTATTAGTTTTAGACTGATTCATTTGGGAATTTCAGAATGAAGAGGGGTCTTATATTCTTTAGTGATACCTCTGGTTAAAGAAGGTATATTGCAAGAGAGAAGCTGTAATGTAAGCTCCATGGAATGTAACTTGAGTTTTCAGAACAGAGGGTTAGAATATAAAATGCTACCGGGGCGCCTGGATGGCTCAGTTGGTTAAGCGTCTGACCCTGAGTTTTGGGTCTAATCATGGTCTTGTGGTTTTGTGAGTATGAACCATGCACTGGGCTCTGATCTGACAGTATGGAGCACGTTTGACATTCATTCTCTCTCCCCCTCTCTCTCTACACCCCCCGTCCCCATTCATGTTGTCTCTACTTCTCAAAATAAACAAACTTAAGAAAAGGATTTTCAATGTTATAAACATACCTGAAAAAAAAAATCATACTCTTAGCTTGTAACAATGATTCATTAAAAAGGTCTTTAAGCTAATCCTACCTCATATTTGCCCTTAAAAAATCAGATCTAAATAATAGACTATGAATAAATAAATTTCTCATGTAGAAATGCACTGCTATCTTCATACCTTTCCAGATGGTTTACCAGGTTTGGTTTCAACTGGTACAGCAGATGTTAATGATTTCTTTTCTTTTTTCTGGTGGGAGTTTAGAAAAGAGAAAACTCTTTTTCACATATTTTTCTTCATTAATTTAACAAATTCAAATTGAATTACTAAATAATTTAATAAAATTCAATGACATTACACATTTAAAATGAATTTACTATAATATTAACAGCATAGATCATATACTGAACATCTCCTCTGTGCCAGATAACACGTATATGTTGTGTCCTTTTTTCAGAACAGCATAAGTGACATTAATTTCACTTAGTGAGTGGAGAGCAAGACTCAGAGATGTTAAGTAAGTTTTCCTAGGTCACACAGTAAAGGGAAGACCAAGAATTGAATCCAGAACTGCCATCTCCTTCTTCTTTGCCCTTGGTTGCTTCTCCAAAGGCCCGCAGTCAGCCCACAGCATCCATGCATTTTTTTTCTCTAAGTGGCCACTTCTCACTGTTGTTCTTTCAACCTTGGCCTGCACACATGAAGACCTCTCACTCCCTGCCTTCGCATTTCACCACCCACTCCTTTATCTCTCTAAAATGTTTCAGTTGCTCTTTCAAAGACTTCCAATAAGTCTCCAGTCTGCAATCTCCATGCTTGACCCACACATAATCCCTTCTGAAGTTTGATCTCAGTAAGCACACCCCATGCCTGACGCATCTCTCACAGCAGCCATGACTGAGCACCATCCTAGCGTTCCTCTGGCATTTGTGCTATCCTTCTCTGCCACGTCTTCTGCGTTGCCCCCAGCCCTACACATTCCATATTTCTGCCTCGCACTCATGGCCCTAAGCAAAACCATTCTCTAGAGCCAGGGCCAAATACTTGCAGGGACTGAGAGGAAGTAGACAGGTGAACATGCCAGGTTTAAGACAATAGAAAACTATCCCATTTGGAGATCTCTGAACTATGGGTGGCAGAGCATGGGGGTGGAGAGCACACCAGCTCCCATGCACTGCCCGCATGAACCTTCAGGTAGGTCACCTCTTCTACAGCTCAGTAACATCATGCGTGACAGGGGGACAGTAACTGCCTCTCCCTCGGGGTTGTGAGAATTAGATAAACTCATCTATTAAAGTGTGAAAGCCAGTGTTTGGTACATACTAAGTACCATGTAGGTTGTGGGGGGGGCACTTTCAAGGTAATATACAAGGGGTCTGAGGTAAGAAAACACATTTATTTTTGAGTATTTTCATTTAAAAGCTTATGTAAATTTTCCCATCACTCCATAGAATATCTGCATTCCTTTGCATACAAACTAATGTGCCTCTTCCTTTTCAAAATCTGAGAAAAACTGGTGTTTCAAGATGTGCCATACTTTTATGCTATGACCTTCCTTACCATCTACCTGAAGGGAATACATTTCCTATTTCAAAAAGCAGGAAAACAGATTAATATATATACTACTTTTTTAAAAATTCATTTCTGTCTTCTTATTTTTGCTACAATTATATACTTGTGGCTTCCAGAGAAATAAGCAGCATTTCTAGGGAGACATGGCCTGTAAACTAATTACTAACTCTGCCTTGCTCTGTGTAGAAACAGTAGACTACTTCTCATTTTACATTTCCAGGCTAGTATTTGAAGTAGCTCTTCAAATGATCTAAGGAAATCTTGTCCATCATTAGTCAGAGGGGCACATACACTCTCTCCTCAGAGGGCTGGTGTGTCTCCTTTGAAAACTCCTGTCAACTCATGTAGATCTCATGACTATTTGTGATTTACTCAAATCAAGATAGGTGCTCTCCAGGCTAAAAAGCTAAGAGAAGTGCTTATTTAAATATGGCAATTGTATTTGCTTAATTTCAAAGCTATAAATATTGTTGAAAGCAGGGTCTGAGTCAACTCACATTTTAATTTTCTTGGTACAGATACCAGACCTTACACATAGCAGGCATTCAATAAATATTTATTAACACATAAATTCTCAAATCAGTTTTGTTATCTTTCTCACATCTTTTAGATACATCCTCTTCTTCACTAAATTTTAATATTAGTTTTAAATTCACTAAATTAAATTCACTAAATTTAATATTAATAAACTTAATATAAATAAAGAAGAGTACTCAGTTTTTACCAAATGCAGGTTATTTGAGCATGGTAGCACCAGACCCTAAATGCTTACTGAGAACCAGACAAAAGCCCAGGTTGGAATGGGTCTTCACCGAGCATGCATCTTTCATAAAATAGACCCGAGGGGCAGTGAGGCCCACATATGCTTCATGTCTGCTTAGGTGTGCTCACCTTGTTATCTGGTTTGGCAGATGCCACAGGTATGCCAGCAACAACACCTTCTCCACCAGTGGAAACTGCATCCTGGGATTTAGTCTAAAGGGGATAAAATGATTAACAGAACTCAGTATCTTTAAATGACTACTTTCAAAATCATGCATTTCAAGTATCGCTACTGATCCAGTTATAACCATCATGGACATAGTGCAGAGGAATGGTTACTAGCTTCTGCTGCACATGGTACAACACTCATGACCATACAAGACTGGACTCAAGAGCTACAGAGTTCATGCAGGTGCACAAATATTGAAGGGGCCAGGTAGGGACTGTGATAAATTGTTACCAAGTTGTAGCCAATTGTTGCCATATAATCTGATTTTTCAAGAGAAGCGAGAAACTTGAATTTTATATGAAATATGACTTCAACTGTTGGCAACTCATTAAAAAAATTTTAGTAATACTGTAGGCCAAACAAAATAGATTTGAAGAAAACACATAATGGCTGCATTTAACTGGCGTGCCAAAGATGTGGCTTCTATCAGGTCCACTGTCAAGCAGGCCTACTTAATGTCTTCCAAGAGCTCTCAATGGAAAAGTTCTTCTCACAAGTGTTTATTCTTCTAAGAGTTGACCTCCATTAGCTGTGTAAATATGGAATCTATTTCTGATTTTTTCTCTCTATAAATTCACCTCTTCTACAACAAAATTCTAAACACCTTTTTCAGACTTCCATGTAAAGAGCATATCATGCAGAGCATCTGTGCTCCTAACTCTGAGGAGAGGGGTCCAGGAGGCAACCTGTACCCCAAGCTTCCCATCCACGAGACACCAGAGTCTGCTGCCTTACAGTCATGATTGGGCACTGCTGGGCAGTGGAAGAAGGCTGAACTGAACTTCCCCTCCACACATCTGATGTATTTCTTGAGCTTTTCAGAGCCCCAAGTGTCCAAGGACTATTTGCAAAACCAGTAAAAATGATAGCACCGAATCTTTACAATACAAAGTATGTTCAGCATAGCTCCACAGATTCAACTACACATGTCCATACAGATGGAGGACATGCATCTTATTCCCTAGTTAATGGTAGTGTTTTCCTATCAATCTGTTAGATTTACCTTTGGTTTTGTTGATTTCTCTGATGTCGACTGTTCACTTGATCTAGAAACTGCTTTTTCATTATGAACATGCTTGCTTTCTGTATCTGATGCATGCTTGGGTAGGCTTTTTGGCTGAAACACACACACCACACTGTTAACAACATGACAAACACTGATGCTTTCCTCTATGAGTGTTGAGTGTTCATATGACATTAGTAAATTGCAAATCCTGTAACTGCCACATGGTGGTGCCATTTTAGAGAGAAAAACAAACACAAACGAGGGTTTCAGAATTTTATTCCTCACACACGAAAAAGGCTTCACCTACCTAATGATATCAAGTCTTAATGATTATCATTTACCTCTTTGTGTTCTTTTGGCTTTACTTCTTGGGGGTTTTTCTCTTGGACCACAGATGGCTGTCAATTTCAAAAGATAAAATCTCAGTTACATTGGAGTCCTTTCTTTTATTTCTTCAAAACAGGTTCAAGAACAAACTCCCAATTAGACCCTTCTGCCTCTCTTGGGAAAGGCTCACTTGGAATACACATGTGCTGCTTGTCAATAGATAGTCTACCAACAGCATGATAGGTTTGCATCTCTAACTTACTGGCTGTTTTTCACAATTCATACAGATTACTTAGTAAACTCAAGTCCAATCACAGTGATGCCGTATGATCACTGAGACCTGTAAGGCTGTTGATAGGGAATCCTACTCTAGAAATTCTTTTTTAAAAATTTCCCTTCAGAGAGAATGAACATTGTATTTCTGCAATTTAATGATTTACATAGTCTTTTCTGTGTTACAAGTAGAGAAGGGAGTATCACCAGAAACTCAATTCTCTTGAGATTGTAGAAATAACAAAATGGAATAGCAGATAATTTCCACCTCGTAGCTGAATTCTTCCTTTACAGTGGACTATGAGATTATTATTTTGAGGGAGCAACCCAAAGGAGCTACCTAAAATAAGTCTCAGATGATTCACCTTTGCCTGCAATTTAAAGGACATCTCTGTGCTTTCCTACAGGAAGTCTTGCAGTCTTATCTGAGTATCTGCTTAAGCATGCTTGAAAGAAGTAATGTGCACCATCGTACGTAGGAGAAACATTTGCCCTGCCTGCACACACCTTGGGATCCATCTCCACATGGATACAGACTGCGTTTCAGTCTAGACAGCCATGAGTCAGGAAGCCACTCCCAAGGGAAGTCAGAGTTGTCTCCTGAGAAACTGATAACTAGTTCCGCAAACTGAGATAAGACTGTTATGATAAACCTAGGGTCCTCTTAAAAAAGACTCTCATCTGTAAGTCATCTAGGTGCTGGGTCCAAATGACATTTATTCTTGTTCTATCTTTAAAGTAACTGGATATTCATTACCCTTTATCCTTTCTTTTTGGTTCCTGCTGCTTTTTTAACAATTACTTCACCTATAAAAATTTAGATCTGAGCAAAATGCCTTCTGAAATATATTGTTCTCATGTATAAAATAAATTCATTTAAACATATGGATTTAGTGTTATAATTATTCACTTGTGCTCTATAAAATGTTTAAAAAAGTAACTCAAAATTAATTAAATTAGCTGACAAAAAATCCTTTTACCATTCAGTAGCACCAAGGGAGTAATTGGTTACTCATTATTATTGCTAAGAATCCAAACAACTCACTAGTTTACTTAAATTACTTACCTTAGTTGATTGTGACTTCTTTTCAGGTTCTGTTTTTGCAGCCTACACTCAGAAGAATAAAGAAAGAGGGAAGGAATTACAGAGGAAAGGAAAAAAAAAAAAAGACATAGTTTGTAAAGTTTAACATAGATTTTCTTCAAATAAGAAAGCTTCCCAAAGGAGATGATTTTGATGTAAATATTAACTTTCCAAGTTTATTATACTCTGCTTGGGAGTTTAACTGTTGAGATAAACATGTAAGACACTAATACTCTACTCTTACCTTTAGACAGCAATTTACATCTTACTTTTGTTAGTTCTATCAAAGATATGTAGCAAATATATAAGCAAAACAAAATAAAAATCTTCATCCTTCAAAGCCAATGACATGATGGATCTTTGTGTGAAATACCACAAGTTTTTGCTGTGGTGTCAAACAACGGGACAGTGACACAGCCAAGAGCACAGAAAGCAGTGACATTTAGTTTTAGTGCCAGAATATGAGTGATCACCAAGGCTACCAGTAAGTATGTGATGGGTGAGTTACTGAAGATCTGGAAGTGTAATTATTACTGTGCGCTGAGCAGGTGAAATGACCATCAGCAAACAGAAATGTTCCCTAGGACAATGTATCACATCACCTGTTTTTTGGGTCTTTTTTTGCTGGGGGAATGCTGTCCTTCCATCTGTTTGCTGACTGGAATAGCCTAAGACAAGAGCACAGCCCCAAATGTGATTTTATTTTATCTGTCAAATAAGTATCATGTATCATTGGACTAAATGTTTATATCAAGACTCGTTCTACTCATATACTGCATCTATTCCATGAGTATGGACGTAATTTCGAGAAGTTGTAGGCACTAAAATTCCAAAGGCTCAAGCAAATATTGTGGTTTGGATTTATTTTTTTTACCATGATAAGAATCTTCAAAATTGCCATTAGTAAAACTAACTTCTGACCCCTTTCCTTCACGTTCTCTGTGTACAGACTGACTGGGCCATTTTCTTCCACCTATATTTCTCATATTTGGTTATGACCAAATCAATAGTTACAAGTACTGTCAAAAGTTTTCTGAAATTTTGTAACAATTCTGTAAAGAGTGCATAGATTTTTTTTTATGCACAATATAATCTAAAGTTCTAAGAATGTTTCAGAACATCTGGTGACTTAAGCCCTTTACTGGAGTATTTTACTTAGTTTTACCGAACCAAAGGTCATTTGTGTCAAAAAAAAAAATACAATCCATTAAAAATATGTGCATTCTTGGGGTGCCTGGGTGGCTTAGTCGGTTAAGCGTCCGACTTTCGCTTAGGTCATGATCTCGCGGTTATGGGTTCGAGCCCCGCGTCAGGCTCTGTGCTGACTGCCAGCTCAGAGCCTGGAGCCTCTTTCGGTCTGTGACTCCCTCTCTCTCTGACCCTCCCCTGCTCACGCTGTCTCTCTCTCTCCTAGAAATAAATAAAACATTATAAAAAAAAAAAATTAAATTTGAAAAAAAAAATATGTGCATTCTTGGTATAGGCAAGACATGAAAGCTGAAGTAAAACTGGATTAAGCATTTTTAAACTTTTCAAAATAAAAGATGAAAAATTAGGCCTAATATTTCCTGTCATTTCTTTCCTTTCTATCTATTTGGTGGTATTAACATAAATTCCTATTTTTTATTCTATTACCTGAAAAGGTCAACACCAAATATCCTCTTAATTTATCATGGCTTGTGCTTCAGCCATGAAAATACAAACACTCTTCCCATAATGGACACTTATTATATCAACATACTTATTGTTTTGAGAAGGAAACAAAGTTCATAACCACAGAAATCTTTTTAAGGGAATTTTACATTTTGGATCCTTCTAAATTGGATCTTTGTTAATTAGATTTTGTATCTGCTACTATGCTTTTTTTTAATTTATGCAAACACAATTTATTAAATGTGTTACAAAGAAAAATAAGCAGCTGGTATTGTAGTGGTTTAGATCTATGAAGAGCTTCTACTTTGTAATTTGGCAATCAAGACTTTGCATGGAAGAATTCTACAAAAGAATTAAGAGTTTATGGTCACACATGCAAGTAGCTTATAATGGAATATTTTTCTTAGAAGTCGCTAATACATTTCCTAAATTTATTTTTGGTGAAGGCAGTAGGTGCTTAACATAATAGTGATGACAATAATAACTAATGCTATTGATTACCTCTTAGTATCAGGGACTGCTCTAAACTTTACATGTGCCAACCCAGTCTTCATAATACTTCTATGAGCCAAGTATCATCATCATCATCATCATCATCATCATCATCATTGTTGTCGTCATCATCAACACCTCTACTTCACCGATGATAAATTTAGGTACAAAGAAGTTAAATAACTTCCCAATAATACACGTGGTAGAGCTGGAGTTGTGTGTTCTCAATCACCACACTGCACAACACTGTCTCTCCAGTATCAGCCAGCTCATACTAGGCCTATGCTGTGGGACAGGCACCAATACTCTTACATGTTTGTTTTCTTACATAGCCCTGTGAAACATGTACTATTATGCAAACTGTATAGACAAGGAAACCAAAGCAAAGAGGTGTTTCCAAACACTCTGGGTGGTATAAAAGGATATTCCAAACCAGGCCATCTGGCTCCATTGTTCATAGAGACTGGCTACATAGTCTCTCAGGGATCTTCTTCTTATTAGAAATAATCTGACCTTTCATCTTAACTACAGCAGTATGACCACTAATTCTAATGTGTCAGGGGCAAGAGAGATAGAGCTTAGATCTAGACATATCACTCCCTCTTCAGAGGTAGATGGACTTTTATTTGAAAAGTGTAGAACAAGACAAGGATTCAGTATAGGTATATCTTGAATTAAAATCTTTTTTTAAATGCTCAAAATATTTGAAGAAATATGATCTAGTTCGCATTCACAAAAATCTTCAAGAGAAGGCTAGTGTAAATGTTATGACCCAAACCAAACATCACAAGCACTTTTGACTGAAATCCACCAAAAGGAGTTGATGCCAAAAGTGGTCCTGAGTCAGCCATTGGTGATATTCATCATCAAGACACTTATTTGGTCTCTCCCTCTTTCTTCTCATTCTCCCATTCTCCCATTCTCTAGTTCTGTAAGACTGACAGGAATTCTTGTGATTAATGCTTAGCAGTGGCTGAAGGGCTTGTGGACACTTGAAATAACCACTGGTCCTCAAACTGAAAGTCAGGGGCAATGGATTAGTCCAGCAACGGGTCAAATGAGAACCAAAATAATAAAGAGGAAATGCTAGATTTGTGGCTCTCCTTTATTTACTTTTCAAGGACTCTGAGCTCAATGATAATTTATTATTGGCTGATGCTTCTCCTATAGTCTGAGATAACTTTTTTTTACTATTTTAAGATTAAGCCTGGTCTTTGTAAGTAGTGACAACTAACAGATGAACTAAGGATCAGGTAATGTATATTCTGAAAACAATTTAAAAATTCATGTAAATGCAAAATACCAAATGAAAACAGTTTTAGATTAATAATTTTTAAGTTAAAATAAACGCTAGATGACACAAGAGACTTGAACAGTATACTTCAAGGTATTTACAATGTCCTTCAAAAACAGCTGAACATGAGGGGCGCCTGGGTGGCTCAGTGGGTTGAGCATCCAACTTCACCTCAGGTCATAATCACAAGGTTCTTGAGTTTGAGCCTCACATTAGACTCTGCACTGACAGCTTGGAGCCTGCTTAGATTCTCTACCTACTTCTCTCTCTGCCCTTTTCTGCTTTCATTCTCTCTCTCAAAAATATCTGAATCAAACATTTAAATTTAAATATTTAAAATATTTAAAACAAACAAAAACAGCTAAACATGAGACTACAGGACCTCCTAATGGCACTAAACTACAGTACCAGTACTGAGTTATGGCATAGGATCCTACCAAGATAGCAAAGTAATATGGAAGACAGGAAGCAAAAGCATGTCAGTGATTTTAAACAAGAGCAACTTAATAATAATGGAGCTGGTTTAGCTCTTAAGGGCACTAGAGGATACTGGCTCATAAAAATTAGTTGAGAGCTTCTTAAAAATGCGCCCACTTTAATTCTCCACCCCAAATGTCCAAGAAACACAGCTTGAGACATGGTAACTAAGGGAGAGGGTTGAGGCAGCTTCAGCCAACACTTCAGAACTAGGCTACTCTATGTGGTAACTCCAATGAGCAACATTCTTTTATATTTTCTTCTGAAATTCCAAGAAGTAATTATTAGAATAAATCCCAAATAGAGCTCAAAGGTTTATCAGTAAGATGTTTCCCTGTAGGACTAAAAGTATCTAAAGTAATCACTATCATGTCACTTGTTTCATGTTCACTTAGTATAATCTTTCTCATTTGTCAATGAGATTTTTTTTTTAATGTTTATTTTTGAGGAGAGACAGATCATGACTGGGGGAAGGGCAGAGACAGGAGGAGTCAGAATTCAAAGCAGGCTCCAGCCTGAGCCCCACGTGGGCCACAAACTCACTAGCCATGAGATCATGACCTGAGCCCAAGTCGGATGCTTAGCTGACTGACCCACCCAGCCACCTCGTACATTGAGTTTTAAATGGCTAGAATAATTATAAAACCATTTTAATAAGAAGCATTCATATTCTTCACTAGATCCAGAGAAATGTACTTAGATCATTTTATAATTTAAAAACTCCATCAAGACTAGAACCAAAAAAATCTCTGGATGAGCACTCTTGTCTAGATATTCTAAAACAATGCAGAAGTGGATAGAGGACACTTGAGGTAAATAGTAAAAGGAAAGGTAAGTTTACAAATATCCCTATAAATTAGGAAGAAAATGTTTACTTCCATAACAAGCTTCGGACACATAACACATTTGTCAGTGTACATTTGTTTTGCTTTATAAAATAATCACTTAAAGGTATTCACCCAAGAACACCCTTGAAGATTCTTCATACCTTGGTTTCTGTGGGATTCATACTGGAAGACTTGCTAGTGGAAGCAGAAGCAGCTGACACCTAGAAAGTAAAGAAAGAGAAAGTCCGATGCTAGTTAACCTATAATACTTTGTCTTTCTTTCAGTTCCTCTTAACCATACTTGTTCTTAACTCTACCTTGGGTTTACCTCTTCTAGAGTACAACTCCCACAAAAGTCCAGTAGGTAGTCTTGCCCAGTGGGCAAAACCTTTATAACGAGTCAAATCAGTTCAAATTTGGGGTATACCACTTACTAAATAATCTTGGGCAATTTTCTGATTTTCGGTTTCCTCATTCTCAATTTTTCTACAGTAGATAACTATCTTGTAGGTTTATTTATTACTACCTGGTACATAAGTGCTCAGTAAATATCATAATTATTGTATTATTTTTAGAAAGAACAAAGACTTTAAAACTTGACAAAATTTTATCTAAATGCAGGCTCTGCCAATTACTAGCTCTGTGACTTTCAGTCTTAGTTTCCTGGGTATATAAGATGAGGCCAATGACAGCTCTTGCATAGTGTTTTAAGTATTTGAGATAATTAAATGTCTGGCATATATTGTAGGTGCTTATTAAATTACTAATGCATTAGTCCAAATATATTATAAAAGACAGAAGGAAAAGGATGTTGCCCTAGAAAAGACTCAGGAAGATCAGAAGTGTCCTTTCAGTGTCACATAAGGAAGAGAAGGTAGAAATGATACAAAAGTGATACTCTGTATTATCTGTCTCATCCAGGCTCCTCCCTGCAGGGCAAGACGTGACAATGATAATTAAAGTTTCAAGATACACCATTCCTAGGGATGGAAGCAGGTGATGGGATTAGTCCCTGCAATCGAATCCCCCAAGTAGTGAGGTATGCATGTGGATACTTACATGGTATTGACTACTATGACAGTACTTAACTTGCATTGCCCTGGTGAATATTAAATCAGTTACTGCCTTTGGGAATTCTGACCTAGGCTCATTTAAACCTCTATAACAAATGAGTCTGTAAAGTTTTAGAGCTTAGGGATTCCATCTGGCATGAGCAGCCTTCTTAAGTAACAGGCTGTCAGTAAACAGCTGCTGCCCTGCCAATAATACCAAGAGCCTGTCTCTGACGTCTGGCTCTGAGCCATTTCTGAGGCTAAGTCCCAGGGCAGGAGAAGCCCATCCTTGTTGGTTTCCTCGTGCCCCACCCCCCACTACCACTCAAGGTGACTGTATAAATCTACTATAACCCATGGACCATGAACAAAATCACCTTCCACACAGACCTCACTTACTGTAGAGCATGTTGGTGCTAATAGTAAACTACCACAATTTTTAGATAAAAGCCCAAAGTTGTGGTATACTGATTTTTCAAACAAACCATATGAACTTTACTCCTGAACATTATTAGGCACCAATTAGGCACCCCTCACCCTAAAATATGCCACACCTGGTCACGGTAGCAGACATGGGGCTGTCTCTCACATTCTCTTTGGGATAAAGAGCTAGAAAATGTACTAAAGTAGATTTTCCCATCAAATTAATGGACAAATACATGAATACTCATTTTTCCTTGAGATTTTTTAATTTGTGAGAATTAATGCACCCATTTGCCACACCCCATTCCTTCAATGATTTCCCTCAATCATATAAAATCAAAGAACAAACACTCTAAATGAAAGTGCTTTTAAGCTGCAAATCCTTAAGTAAACATTATTTCTAAACCTCTGTTCATTAAAATGTTCCTGAAATCACACAGCCTGGGAACTTCCCATCTGCCTTACTCCTTTATTAAGCAACAGCTGGATGTGACCCTCAAATCCTATAAAGAAGACTTTCTAAGTCCCCCCCACCCAAGAACAATGAAAGCTACAGGTATGGCTATAAACAAGCATGGAGTGGGGCACCTGGGTGGCTCAGTCAGTTAAGCATCCTACTTTGGCTCAGGTCATGATCTCTAGGTCCGTGTGTTCGAGCCCAGCATCGGGCTCTGTGCTGACAGCTCAGAGCCTGGAGCCTGTTTCAGATTCTGTGTCTCCTTCTCTCTCTGCCCCTTCCCAGCTCGTGCTCTGTCTCTTTCTGTCTCAAAAAGAAAATAAAATGTTAAAAAATTAAAAAAAAAAAAACAAGCATGGAGCAGGTTATTGCAGGAATTTAGGTGAATGCTTTGACCACACCTGTTCTCAGCACAGATCCCTCCATGAAAGTTCCATCCCATCACAGAGGCACTAAACATTCTGAAAGTGAAATAGGAAAGCTACTTCATGGTATCGGAAAATAAAGAAAATAATCCCACCCCACTGTGAATCCATTCAACTCTGGTGAATTGTGGTTTGCTCTATTTTCTTCCATGTGTTAAGACAATGAACTTTTAACATTTGCTTTCTCTGGTTAAGGGACTGAATACATTTTCATTTTAATTCTGTACCATTTAAATTTCTAATCATGTATGTGAATAATTGATTGTTATTGAAGACTTTATCCATAAGCCTTTAACTTGAAGAACTTTAAAGATAAACCTTAATATGTGGTTTTAAACAGGTAAAGAAAAAGATAGCTCACAGAGGGTAATAAGTGTCTTGTCAAATCTACCCCAGTTTACTGGCTCTGTGCGTATTTACCCAGAGTAAGTTTGTGCCAGGTACTCTATCAGGACAAAGGAACACGGTGGTGCGGTTGCTAGACATGTTCCTGCCACTGCGGAACTTTCAGCCTTATCAGACGGGACACTAATAGAATAATCACTGCAATAATTACTTGTGATAAGTGCTATAAAGGAAAATCAGAGGCCCCCATAAAAACATAGACTTGGCAACCAGAATTAGTTCAGGAGATGATCAGGACAGCTGATGCTAAGGAAGTGACATGGTCATTAAAGTATAAGAGGGTATCACCCAGGCAAAGGTGGGGGGGCTGGGCAGCTGGAGGGGCCTTTTGAGCTATGTGTGCCAGGGCTGGGACGTAGGCCACCTGAATTCTAAGCCAGTGACTTTCTGCTGCAGGACTACCACAGGACAGTCCTGTTAACATCAGGGGACAGCCAATGTTTTTTTTTAAACATTTATTTATTTTTGAGAGACAGAAACAGAGCACAAGTGGGGAAGGGACAGAGAGCAAGGGAAACACAGAATCTGAAGCAGGTTCCAGGTTCTGGGCTGTCAGCACAGAGCCTGAAACAGGGCTCAAACTCATGAATCATGAGATCATGACCTGACCCAAAGTCGGACATTTAATGGACAGAGACACCCAGGTGCCCCAAGGGACAGCCAATTTTAAAGCACAACCATCAGGGGTGCAGTCGGTTAACTGTTCAGCTCCTGGTTTCAGCTCAGGTCATGATCTCCACAGTTCATGGGTTTAGGTCCTGCACTGGACTCAGTGCAGAGCCTGCTTGGGATTTTCTCTCTCTCTCTCTGGTCCTCTCCCTCTAGCACACTCTCTTTCTCTTTCAAAATAAATAAATAAACAACAATAACAAAAAAAGCACAATCAGTGCTCATACATACCAAAACATCTCTGTGTGCTGTCAGTCAGAGTGAAGGATAGCTATTATCATACCCTCCATTCCAAATGGCCCACACAAATCTCTGCATATCCCAGAGTATTAGTCATCATTTATAAACTTAAAGCATAAATCAACATAACAAAGATCAGAGAACAAGTACCTTGTTATAATCATTCTCCACCTAGCCATTCAACAATTGCTATTTGAAAAGCAATGAACTGCGGGCTGAGTATACACAATGAGGAAGACACCATCTCAGCCTTCTAAGAGTCTGGAGTTCACAAAGAGAGACAGTAGGTTTATGTTACAACTGCAGTGCTCTAACAGAGGTAGGAAAAGAATCTTATGTGGTAAAACAAATGTTTGAGTTCTACGTCAGCTTCAGGCCCACCTCAAATAATCTTGCTGTATCATCAAGTTACATTAACACAAACCAGTACTGGTTAAGAGTGAATGTGACCTAGAAAAAAATATTGAATTCTTTACTTAATCAATGTGGCATGAATTTTCTGGCATTATTCAACAAAATCTCTTTAAATTTATTTACTTGATACAGCAATGGATTTGGAAGTTTACTGCAGGAAACGATTATAAATGGGGGGCGGGGGGGATAGGGAAGATGGTAGCTTTTAAGATCCTTGGAAAATAGAAACTTTTCTTTTTCACATATATTTTTGCAAAGGTCTCCCAGAGTCCAGATTTTTGGCTCTCTTACCTACTCTGGACAGATTAATCTCCCTACTTGGCACTCTCACCCATTAGTTTCCATCCGAAGTAGAACCAGCGGTGACTCCTGTTGCCCACTGCATCACACAGAAATCCTTTCTCTTGCCTTCAAAGACCCCCATGCTCAAATCCTTCCCCATTTCCCAATGTAGAATAGCAGCTTTAGGCAGCCAGTCTATCCTTTCCTCAAAGTACACCTCACTACCTGCTCCCTTGGTTTTATTCACACAAATCCTACTGGTTGGGATGCTTCTCTTCCCAAAATATCCAAACCCTACAGTATGCCCTTCCTTTTAGGTGCATCTCACTAGCTCTCAGCCCCAGCATTGTAACTTCCAGCATCACAACCACCACAAGCAGTCCTGACTGGCATCTTCCTTGTCTACTTCCAGCACTTTATACACTCAGGTAACCACATAATTCAACCTCAGGAATGGTCACCTCCACTAGATGGGGGTCCCTTTATAAGAGGGGTCTGTTAGGTACACTCATCTGCTGACCTCACTCTTACTCATTGCAGGTTTCTGGCCACGGCTTTTCCTTTATTCTGCAGGGTTTCTGGTAAGTATCAATCTCAACCAGTGTGTGGTGCTGGATGCAACTGCAGAAGGTTGTGAGTTCACCCACAGACCCTGCTGAATGGGTCATACTGGGCCAGCTAAGGGCTCCCTTAGGAGGGTTAGGTCCTAGAGGATTTGCTCATCCGTTCTGCTGCCATTAAATCTGGTTGATGAAAAATTACTTCCTCAGCTCCTTAGTTCTCTATTACAAAATATAGTTCCCTCCCCTGCCTAGGGCTGCCCGAAGCCTTTCAGTTCTTTGTAGGTGCTGCCA